TACTCAATAAAAGGATAAGGTAAGAATTCTTGGTAGATTTTTGTTTGAATTCAGTATATAAAAGACATATCGACTGCTTTAATATTCGAGGTCCTGCCATGACCCCTCGGAGCACCGCCCACCATGCAGGCGACTGAGGCGAGCCTCTGGGTCATGGCAAGATGTGAGCACGTTCTCTTGAGCCTATAAAACAGTCAGGCCTCTCAAAGCAGTCGATATCTCTATAATAACACATGAATTCAGGTAACCCCACTCCTGCTGGTTGTTTCAAGAAGCATTCTTGCAATGACAAATGACAAAAATCAGTGACAAATCGGATAATCAATTCAAGTGCATACCTATGGTGGGTTGCTGGCGGGCGCGCGCCTGTGTGAAGTTATCTACCGTAATGAGGATCTGAGACATTACGGTAGATAACTTCACACAGGCGCGCGCCCGCCCGCAACTCACCATCGCTATGTACTTCTAATTGTGCAGCGGTGTGAAAAAATGTATACATATCAACGTTTATCCGAAAAATACTCCAAAAATAACAAGAAAATTGACGCAAAACAGGTACATGTATGCGTAATAAACATAACAATTTTTAACTCATGATCTTTATTTCGAAATTTAATGAATATTTCTACAGTAAAGAAGGGGGTAATCAACCATCTCCAGTTTTCGGCCGATTGGGTGGATGCATGGTAAAATCCCTTAAAATACATCGCATAATAGCATGACCGACCTCAAAAAGATGACCTTACCCCCCCCCCAACGGAGCAAAATGTCAAATTTTCAAATTTCGATACCAAAAAAAAATTAAAAAAATGTCCTCTTACCCCCCCCCCCCCCCCCCTCCCCCCTCCCCCCCTCCCCCCTCCCCCCCTCCCCCCCTCCCCCCCCCCCCCCCCACTGAGCGACTTTTCGGTTGGCTGAGTCGTTGCGATTTTTTTTTGGACTACCAAAAAAAAAAAAAAAGTGTCCTCTTTGAAAAAAGTGCAAAACAAAAAAAAATCGTTCACCAGCTACCGTGTTCCCACGCAAGCGCGGATCCAAGATTTCTTAGGGGAGGGGGCCCAACTTTTATTTCTTATTGCTCCCAAAAATTTGAAAATCGCGCCGGCCGAAAAGTCGTTCAGTGGGGGGGGGGGGGGGGGGGGGGTAGTGAGCACCCAAAAGGTAAAAATCATGTGTTTTTACATGTTTTTTTTATCACAGGGGTGGGGGGACGGGCCGCCCCCCCCCCTGGATCCGCCACTGTCAGTCCCACGTACTCAGCGCTTAGCGGAATCCAACCAGGGAACCAGGGAAATGAGTGGTTTAGTAGTTTTTTACGGATTCCGTGACACCAAAATTGTATTTTTTTCCGTTGAGAATAGACTTATATTGTTGGCCATGTATTATATGTCACTGCTTGTAGTACCTGACTGGGAGATGGTGAACTGCAATGGGGCCCTAGCTCTCCCTTAAAACAGGGGTGATAGTGAGCACTAAAAAAAAATAGGTTTTTTGTTTTCCCCTCAACCACGCCCCCCTTAATTAAAAAAAAAGAGAAGAAGGTTCGCGGGGGGAAAATGGCATCTAACAACATTCCCCCCTTTCGAGTAAGAAAATTAGGAAAAAAATAGGGCAAAATAGGGAAGATTAGAGAAAATAACGGGGAAATCGATAAAATCAGGATAAAAGAGGGAAGAAGAAAACAAATCTGGTAAAAAAAAAAAATTAAAAAAAAAAAGATTTTTATTTATTTATTTATTTATTTTTTAAATCGGGAAGAAAAAAAATTGGAAAAAAATCGGTAATTTTTTTTTTTTTTTTTTTAAATCGGGTTTTTATCAGGCTCGCCCAGTCAGCTACTATTTTTTGGGGGGTATGTTTTTACAGATTCCACGACATCAGTAATTTTGTTCTTTATTTGATGGGTGGAGATTTGGGCTAAAATGAGTACTAATATTAATATATAAGAATGATTTAATTTTTTGTATCCCCCCCCCCCCCCGGTCCTAGGTTTTGGCATATGCTTTCCTGGAATCCACGATGACGGAAATGTCAACAGGTGTTATTTTCCTGATAGTTTTCTTTGGATTCCAAGGCACCACGGAATCACGGATGTATATTAATGTACTGCAGTTTCATTCTGAAGATCCGAAATGATGGTTTTTCTGTTCGGTATAACTAGGGGCCTAACCGTCAAAGAAAAAGCAGACCGCCCTCTCTTGGCTAAATGAAGACATCGAGTAGAAATCACAGTGGAGCATAATTTAGATATTATGCAGAAACTGATAGACGACAGGGACAACGGAGGCTAAAAATGTTTCTAAACCGTGGTTCTGGGCCGAAAAATTGGAGTATGAACACAACTACACAGGCCTACAGCACGTGAGACCGTTAGCCGAGACCTAAATATGACGGCGGTCTCAATTAAGCACCCCCTGCTTTTTTCCCTTTCTGAGGGTTCACTAAACCGCACTAAGTGACTTTTTAAGTCTCATGGACTATCAGTCTGTTGGAATGTTCCTGCCTTAGCATTTGTTGAATTATCATGCACGCGCTGTAGTTGCAATTAGGAAACATTTATCTGCCTTCATTGTCAGCACACCTACAGGGAAAAGCTGTTCTCACATTCTTAGCCATTTCTTTTCAACCACTTAGTGTTGTGACAGTAAGATTTTTAATTTATTTTTTCATCATTTTTATCATCTATTAAACATCTGACCTATACAGGATATTTAAGATGTAAAAGTCCCTTTATAACGATACTGTAAGTGATTATGAGAAAATCACAGCAGTAATTAAATGTATTCATTAAAAAACACTTTTCATTTATTATTTATGATTATTGTTTTTAATATAATAAACGTTTATTTTTTTAAAAATCACGATTCGGGTTCCCTCAATCGGTCCCCCAGTGAAGACCCTGAGTTAAGAGCGTGAACATTTAAATCTCAGAGCTGCATTTTATGTCATCTTTATGGGCTGGATTGACAGGCAAATAGGGGTGAAGGAAAAATGAAGGTAAAGAAAGAGGATAGCGAACAGGGGCGGCCGAGCGACTTCCAAAGTGGGGGGGGGCACCAACAAAAAAGGGCACTTTCTGGAAAATAAAAAGGGCACTTACAGTGGGAAATCTCAAAGCGAAAATATACCATATTTTAGACATTGGTATATACCCCTACATTGTGATTACATTATCAAGGATGATTTCAATATTTGTTTCTCTTCATACATCATACAAGATATCGCTTTAGCATCATACTTTACAGTTGGGTGTAATGTCTGAATATGCATTTACGAGCGAGCGAAGCGAGCAAAAAAAAAAATTAAGATCTGTGAGGTCGCAGTGCGAAAAAATTACATCTTATAAAGAGGAAAAAAGCCAATCTTGATGGGGTTATAAGCACATTCTCATAACGGAAGACTGAAAAGACCTTTGATAAGTAACATAATTATATCATCTTTAAATGCGAGCGAGCGAACTTTGGGGGAAGTTGCTCTTAGTCGCTTAGGGGCACGTTTAATGATAAGAGGTGAAAATGAGGCATTTTTTCACCTGAAAAGAGTCACTCACCAGTGATGAAAAAGAGGCGTTTACGAAAATTTTATAAGAGGTGATAAGGGGATGGGTCCCTTATTAGAAAAGAAAAGGGGCACGTATCATTATTAAAAGGGGAATTATCAGAGGTGTAAAGGGGCACTGACAAGATATGAACAGGGGCACTTATGAAAATGTAAAAGGGGCACTTATAATAAAGGAAAATGTTAATTTGTTTAATGCAAAGGGGGCACCATTCAGATTTGTAAAAGGAGCAGTTATGAGAAGGGGAAGGAGCTCTTTCTCTTTAATGGGGGCACTTATCATAAATAAAAGGGGCACATGTTAAAATGAAAGGTGCGCTCATCCGAGTTTAAAAAAGGGGTAGTTATTTAAAGGAGAAGGGGCAGTTGTCAAAGTAAAAGGAGCACCTCTCAGTTTTGAATAGGGCAATTATCAGAGGTAAAAGGGGACACTTATCAAAGTGAAAAGGGGCACTTCTCGTACCTGAAAAGAGGCACTTACTAGAGATTAAAAAGGGCACTTATTCAAGATAATTTCAAGATTTATGAGAATGGAAAATGGACACTTATTGCAAAGGAAAATGGGAACATGTCGAAGGAAAAGGGGCACGTGTCAAAAAACAAAAGGATCTTGTCAGCGGTGAAAAGGGGGGAAGGGGCACTTTTACTAAGTAATAGGGGCACTTTTCAAAGTAAAAGGGGCACTTCTTACAAAATAAAAGGGGCACTTTTCCTATGTAAAAAGGGGCACTTTTGGGGTATCTGAAAAAGTGGGAGGACACTGTGCCCCCCCCCCTGCCCCCCGGGAGGGCCGCCTCTGATAACGAGATAGGAAGAGGGAAGGGAAGAAGAGAGAGAGAGAGAGAGAGAGAGAGAGAGAGAAGGTCCTAAAAGAAAGATCACTTGTAAAGTAAAATGGGAAGGGTTACTGATGGTACCATACATCTGGTGGATAGGAACAAATGTTGGAGGAAAATCCTTTGTAACATGATCAAGTTCATAATGAAGAAAAAGAACAAAAGAAAACAAATTTGCATCATTCATAGGGAGTGATTCGTATCACTATCAAAATGCTTTTCAATAAACAATAACAAATTATTCCTATCCACAGTTTTGCAGTACTCGTTCTCATCATAGAATATTCAACAACACTAAACCACTTACATCATCACTCCCATAATCCTTCACCCCAGCCCTGCAACAATTGTCCGGAAAAAAGAGGGAAGACCACTCGTCTATTAAACAACCTTCTTGTAATCCTTCAACATCTTTTCATATTTAAACTACATTGTCAATTGCAACCACTATCATCACTATTATAAGGCCTAATCACTCCCCCCCCCCCCCCCATTTCCCTTCCCCTGCAAAATTGTGCCTTTCCGATCAAGAGATCTTGACATCGAGACTGCGAAATGCATGAGAGGGTAAACTATAATGGAAAGAAATGAAAATAATACTCAATGGAACGTGTAATTATATACATTTAATATGTTACACAATATATCTCTGCGTTCTTTAACTCAAATGAAGATACATAAATTTCTCTTCCAGACTTTCTGAACCAGTTGAAACATTTGACATACTGACACAAGGTCATACAGTGAACATTCTCATACAATAATAAGCATTAGTGTATTAATAAAGGATAAACCTTCATCAAATTAAAAAAAAAAGTCTAAAGCTATTCATGAAGCACCCCCATCACTTTCGGAATATTCCATGTTCATAACATTGAGATAAATATGGTAACTTCATTCAAGTAACTTGCAACTGGTCTATCATAAAGGATGAATAAGTAATGGTTTGCAGACAGAGATACACAGTCTGTTGATATAAAATCATGTACAAGAAAAGAAGCAGTTGTTCCATTATTGTAAAAGAAAGGAAATACATGTACCTTTTTTTAGTCTTTTTACACATACATGTACATACAATTTAAATTGTATAAGTAGAAAGGATTCAGGAGAAGTTCTGTATTAGTTCAGAAGTCACCCAATTTCAATTCAGGTATTTCTGTAAAAAAAGCCAGAAGATTGTTATGCATCAAGTATACAAAAGAAACTAAGAATAAAACATTAGGACCTTTCCATCCAAAGTCTATAAACAGGGTAGCATTTTTCTTCATGAATTGACTTATTCTTCAACAGGACATCGAGGAAGTGACGTAATTAAATGCACTCTTGCATAATACACATGTACTTTTAGCTTAACATTTGCTTGAACAAAATGAACATTAATCTTCATGGAGCTTACTTTGGAGTGCAACAAATACATGGCTAGAACTTTTTGCCAAAGAGATTTAATTAAATTAATTAATCCTATTATAACATGCGCACAACCATCACAATTTACATGTGTAGATATACTTCGATAATGTACAAATCTTATTTCAATCTTGGAAGTAGAAAGAAACAAATTTATACAAACCTACTTTTTTTCTTCTAAAAATAATTTTGACATCACAAATAAACAACATTTCTTCAGTAAAATATACATTCTTATATTTTCAAAGTGCTTGTCACCTTTGAAATGTTTCTGTATACCCTCAATCATTTCTATTTTGATGCCTGTACAAAACTAAAGATACAGATTTCATTCACTGTCATAGAGGGCTGTGGAGAAAACAAAATTAAAGGATGTGTATTCCTTTTTTCTATATTTCTCTCTCTCTCTCTCTCTCAAAATAATCATTTGCAAAAACGAAAATACAACCAATTCTAGAAGCAGATGAAACAGATTCACACCGTAAGTCAATGCTAACATCAATGCCTTTTATATACATGCGATATCCGATTAGGTATGTTTTGTGCTTACAACTTACACTGATGTAATTTTATATAACTGGTAACTAATTGCCCTTAACTCCCAAACTATAACCCTTTCGTTCAGGGAATTCACAGCAAATAACTGAAGTTAATCACAATTTGACACAATGTCCAAAAGAAATTGGTAAATTTTGTAAAAATATGTTGTTTTCCCTGTAACAAACATGTTTTTCCATTGAAGGCCAACATGGTCATTTATTGTGCATATTCATAGCGCTTCCATGTACAGCGTATTTATATGTCATCATCATTTATGACATTGCTTTACAAGAATATAGCCTCGCTATCAATCAATAGTAGTGTGGCTTCCTACTTTATACAGCCATAAAAACTTATCAGAATTAAACAGTACGGTAGACACACAAGGCTTGATGTGTGTCGGAAGCCAGAGCCATCTATACACAGAGATTGGCCAACTTGCTTTCACTGGGTCACATCATGGCGTATATTCTTTTGTTTAGTACTTGCCAAACAAAGCAGTAGTCACCATGTTGTGTCCAACTTGAACCGAGTTGGCCAAACTCTGTGTATAGATGGCTCTGTCGGAAGCTTCATGTATTTTACACGCCCCTCTACACATGCATGTAGACCCCTTTCCCAAATGTGCTCAGAAGATCTAACCCTTCCCTACGTAAGAACCTACATGTACTACATATTAATGCATTGTGAAGATTTAGGACTTTGTATTCCTCTGGTTTGTGATTATCCAAATGCATGCTGTAACAGAGTCGTAGCTGTATGTTTACTACATTCTCGTACTCCCACACATGTACATGTAGGCTACTATTAAGCCTATGGGAGTTCAAGAATGCAGTAATCAGCACTCAGGAGGTATATTTTCACATATGAGTATTTGAGGGACAGCTGAAAATGAATAATCTTGGAATAAAATCATGAAGGCTAGTAAGTTATCAAGTTTCTCCATGGTTTCTTCACACAGGCATTACATATTATCAAGGCAGTATATGGTCAGAAGTTGCGACTAGTGATAAAAATATGTAGGAGTTTGAAGGCAGTTGGGACGGGTTATCATCTACAAAGATTGTTTTATTCAATGCTTTTATTTCTTTCTTTCTATGAATTCTTGAGTAATCAATTTTTTTTTACCAGTCTTTCTGTAATCTCAAGTATAATGTTGACTTACACACAGAGTTTGATTTAATCATCACACCAGCTCCTCCGAGGTGCTTGTGAAATAAGAGTTCCATAGTGTGACGTCATACTCGCCAAGTTGTCAAGGTCCCTGGTTCCAAACAATGGTGAAGTGATCACACCAGCCCGGCCCAAACACTGAATTTGCCCTGCTCCAGCCCATTGCTTGAATGATTTCGCAGTGGACGTCATGCCCAGGCTCAGTTGTTTGGAACCAGTAACCTGAACTACGAGTGAGTACAACACTAGCACTTTGGTAATCTAATGTACTAATGCACCTTAGAAGTACTTGGGTTAATAATATGTACCGAGGGTATTACAAAAACCGGAAGGAATTTTCCTTCACCATATTGTGAAACATTACAGAATGACACCAGTACAACCATTTTACCAACACTTCATATAATGTAAGGCAAAATGCAATGTAAAGCTCTCTTTACCTGATAATTTACTAGTAAATTTAATAATTAGCAACTACTTTAAAGCCTAAATTCCATCAGAGGAGAAAATCAGAAAATTCCTTGAAACTATGTGCTGATGTACTATGTATATGAGGGAATTTGTACCTTTAGGTTAGGTGGGTGGTCATTAAACACATATAAGATGTAAGTTAGAAATTAATCCTTCAGTACAAGGGCACAGGTTTACAAAATCATTAGCTTTAGGACTGATGTCTTTGATAAGCCATATCTACATGAAGCTATTCCATTTTTAATTCTATATACAAACAATTCTGTCCGTCTGATTATGAAATAATCCTAGAGTGATATACTTGCTCTCTCTATCTCACATCTTTTTACATTGGTGATAGCTCCCAACGTGATACATGAACTTGGGGGTGTGTTTCGATTGCATCTTCCCCTGTTAGACGGCTAACTTGCTGATCTCTGACGACTGCTTTCTGTGATGGATAGAGTCGGGCGTTGGGATAGCCTCACCGGTAGGCTTGGGAGCAGGAGGGATTCCTCCGCCCGGCTTACCGCTCAACGGACGCATCTTATGCTTGCTTTGCTGCTTTGCCATGTTGTAGTCGCCAGAGTCAAAGTACTTCATTTGCTGGTGATCGTAGTAGAATCAAAGAAAAGAGGAAAGGAATGGAGGATAGAGTAAGCTTGAGTCTATCTCACTCTTTTCTTTTTGTTCCTTCTCTCGGTTACAGCACATGACATACTTGTGATATAATATAGTATGGTATATTTATTATTATTATCATTATTATTATTATTGTTATTAATTGTTATTATTATTATTAGGAATCAGCAAAAATAAGGGTGGGGGTAGCAAAGGAGACAAAAAGAGTGAGGAATAGGATGAGGGGGGGGGGGGGGGTAGCGAAGGAGACAAAAAGAGTGAGGAACAGGATGAGGGGGGGGGGGGTAGCGAAGGAGACAAAAAGAGTGAGGAACAGGATGAGGGGGGGGGGGTAGCGAAGGAGACAAAAAGAGTGAGGAACAGGATGAGGGGGGGGGTAGCGAAGGAGACAAAAAGAGTGAGGAACAGGATGAGGGGGGGGGGTAGCGAAGGAGACAAAAAGAGTGAGGGACAGGATGAGGGGGGGGGGGGGTAGCGAAGGAGACAAAAAGAGTGATGAACAAGATAGGGGGGGGGGGGTGTAGCAAAGGAGACAAAAAGAGTGAGGAACAGGATGAGGGGGGGGGTAGCGAAGGAGACAAAAAGAGTGATGAAATTCAAACAAGTGATTGGGTCCTTGAGAGATTAGTAGAAATACAATCTATAAGGGTAAATTGGTGCATGACAAGGGGAGGGAGAGAATGCACAAAAAGGTTAACAATGCAGCCATGAAAGAGAGTACTTAGGGAAGAATCATGAGTAGGGATTGAAAGAAAAGACAGGAGAACGTAGAAAACAGTTGAAAGGAAAACAAAAGGAAAGATTTAAGAAGTAAATGTTGAATTTACACAAATCTGTTGGGGGGGGGGGGGTGGTGTGGATCGCTGAGATGGTGGTAAAAATATGGTGACACGACATTTGCTCCTGCGACAATTGCTCCGGGCTTTATTTCGTCTAAGATGTAGGGTTAGGGTTAGGGTTTCAATAGGGTTTTATGTTAGGTTTAGGGTTAGGTTTAGGGTAGGGTATAGTGTTGAATCCAGGGTTGAAGTTAGCCATTCGATTAGTGTATGAAATTTACAGCGGAGCAATTGTCGCCGGAGCAAATGTCATGGAATCAAAAATATAACCTCATCTGAGTCATTTCCCCTTTTTCACAGACAGGGACAAATGTCATGTTTGGAACCGACTTTTTAGACTAGTCTACTACATGTACATGTATACTGTAAAACCAAACATATTATGTACAGACTCCTGTCTCCATAGCAAGTACCTTTATGAAGAGGACAAATCTCAGAAACATTTTACAAAATTATAACGCTTTAAAAATAGTGTTACCGGTAATCTCTCTATCTACTTACATTTTTGTTCAGCCTCTTTTGTAGAAATTGTGATCCTCCTGGCTTAGATAGACCTCCAAACTTTGCTTTTAGCTTGGCCTCTTCCATTTGCTCTATGGACTACAAGGAAGATACAAGTTGAGTAAAAAACAAGGAAGTGATAAGTACAAAAAACAGAAGTAAGTCATACTGTAGGGTTTGTCAGTTATGTGATAATTTTTTTTTTACATGTACACATGTATGAACTAGTATTAAAGGCATATTTAACAATGTTTTCCAGTTTTATAAATCTGAGATGCATGGCCTTCGCAGGGAAAAAATTAATATTTATTTTTCGGGGGCTACTTTTCAAGCTTGCCTGCATGGAAATAACATTCTAAAATTTGTATTGCATTGAACTCTATGCAAATTTACAGGGGCTCTTTTCTGACTTTCGGGGGCTATTTTTGGCATTTCATGGGCTAATTCGCCCCTAGCCCCCGTGTATTTTTTTCACTGGGCCTTCGTTATCAGTGTCTGAGATATACATGTAGTGTAATATCATCCATGGACTTGAACGCATCCCAGTTGATACCTTCTTTGAACACTCGACTAGCAACACAAGAGGTCCAGGGAAAAAAATACTTTAAAAATTTCGGGGGCTACTTTTCAAGCTTGCTGGCATAAAAATAACACTCTATAATTTGTTTTGCATTGAACTCTATGCAAATTTTCGGGGGCTCTTTTGGGCATTTCGGGGGCTAATTCGCCCCGAGCCCATGTGTATTTTTTTCACTGAAGAGGTCACAAGCTAAAGATCGTAAAACAAAGATGCTGAACGAAGATTAGGCAAGATGCATTCAGCCAATGAGTCATCAATGACTGGAACACACTTCCTGAAGAGGTAGTCACTGCTACCATGGTGAATGCCTTTAAAGCCAGACTGGATCGAGTATGGAAGGACAAGCATTTCTGCTTCCCATACATGTATGAGTAGAATAACCGATGCAGAACTGAGCCAGACAAACTTACCAAGATGAAGACACCCAACTACGAGAAGGAAGAAAATGAAACAAAACTGGAAGCCCGACTGCTGAGAACAGAGCATTCTTCCAGAATATCGGGTAAAGGTAAAGAATATTGAAGCCCTACAAAAAAATGCGCTTCGAAATGATCATGAAGTGCTTCAAAAAAGTAAAATTCTTTGAGTGACTGGTTTTACCATACCGTATGGTACTCATTTTCCCCAGGAGACTGTAGTGTAGTATAAAAACCGTAGGGAAAACGTTTGTTTTACATTTCAAATTCCAATCATAAATATCTTGATAATCAAACATGTGATTGGCTTGTAAAAGACATGGGATTCATTTCTGACCCAAAGATTTATAATTATGATTGCGGCATGAGCTAAATCCAGGATTTTATTTAGAACCTGAGGCAAAGATACCCAATCCTTTTAAGTTTGAAAAATTTCAAGTGTGTATCTAATAATATGCCAAGTGTGCGTCAGTTATTTGTGAAGTGCGTCACCTGTTGACATGTCAGTGTGTTATGTAATATTGGCATTGTCATTTGTGCTCTCTGCTTTAAATTAAGTGAGCCCTCTCTCACTAAATTCAAAACCGCTCGAGCGGATTGGCCAATGAGAGCGCATCATCTCAGATAATCTCACTGTACAGCGCTCAATGCGTAAAGTTCTATGTCGTACATGTTGATGTACCGGTACTGACTAAACATTGATTAAATTGAAATTTAAAAAAAACTAAAGTAAAATTTTATTAATTTGAATTTTGACACATTTAGTTTAGTGCTGGTGTTACTGTTATGTTAAATGTTTAATAGCCAGACTTGCCGGCTTCAGATGCACAAGCGATGTGTACTTATTATAAACATTTTAGACTTAGTTAGATAATAGATGTTCATAACAATTAATTAATAACAACATGCATCAAACATGTGAGGCTGAGATTCTGAGAATGTGTCCTGAAAACTAACCTGTTTTGATGGTCTGTCTGTCTGAATCGTCTTTGGAACAGGCGGCTTGATAAGTGGTTTAGCTGGCCTAATGAATTTTCCAGAGTCTGTTTTTGGAATAGTTTGGCTAGGTTCTGTCACTGCTGGCTGTGCTTTTGTTTCAACAGCGGGCGGCTTTTCAGATGTTTGTGCAGGCGCAGGATCAGGAGTCGACTCCTCCGTTGTTTCGGCAGTCGCAGGTACAGGTACGGGTACGGGAGAGGTATCCATGCTCTCTTCGATTTCAGCGGGAGCTTGTACTTCCGTTGCCGGGGCTTCGGCGGGAGTGGACTGTGTTTCCTCCGCTGAAGACATCTTTTTGTCTGTTCGGCCACTTGCGATCAAATTTTAGCTACCTTAAAACGTTGCTACGGCACACAATTAGCTCAGTTAGACGTCAATAACCACACTGGAATGTAGTGTAATATCATGGAAATATTGTGTAATAGCTTGTAACCATCCAAAGGTAATTAGACCCGAAAATTTTAATTTATTGTCGATGCCCTGAGATTCTGGAACAGTGGCAGAATAATGGCGGTGAATGACGTCATAGAGCTCAAATTGATTTGTTTACAGCGCAAGAGGGCCGTTTGCGTATTTGAAATTTGGCAATTAACGATTGAAGGCTTATTTTCAAAATACATGATCACCGTCTCTTTCTTCTTTATCATAGTCTTTTTTTCCTTATTCCTGTCCAGCTGTATACAGTCTGTATTTCACTCTGTCTCTACTCTCTAAATGAGTATATGCGACTCTGTGTCTTGCTTGGTCTCCACTATATTTCTCTTTTAATCTCTTTATCTTTCACTAAATGTCACATATTATATCCGGGATTTATATCTCCACCAGATTCTCCAAAAGATCCAATTTTCAGTACAAAATATTTTTTTTTTTATCCTCACAAGATCTCCAACATCCTTTAATTAATGATAATGGCAATAATTCTGCCCTTGTTATTAAGAAAGAACGTAAAAACCAATCTTCTCATTCGGTTTGTTTCCTCTTGTTCGTGTGTGATACTCAAGTGAAGTTTTCAACCAGTTCACTGTTTCACGGGCCCAAATCAGGCACAAATGGATTTTGTCACGCCATTTTCAAAACAATGTTGCTCGGTGAAGAATGAATGTATTACTGCAATCTTTGTATCATTTGAAAACATATTACTTTACGGAAAAGCAAGATATCACATTTATACATCTCATACTTTGTTCACAATATCCGTTTATTTTCAGGTTCCAGTTTTTTCTCATGTATCACTGTATATAGTGGAAAATACTCTCAGATGCTATTTTGAGGACAATTTTTTAAAATTGAAATGGAGTAATTGATGAAAACCCACACATGCACATCTTTAATAGGTGATGAACTATCACAAGTTCACAAAGAAAAAACTCAACTGTATGCACACTTTGATCCTGTGAAACAATTGTAACTATGTCCATCTGTATTGAAAGTTGATCAAGTGGGGCCAAACATGTACTTCACTGGCCTTGATGAGATATGTGTCGACCCCCCCCCCCCCCACCCCCACCATACGAAATCAGTAGATGGCAGATGTCAGGACGAATTGGGCAAAGGACTAATGGGGTATCATCTCTATGTTTTTTTTTATAGTTTATGTGTCAAGAAGATAATTCCTATGAAAAGAAAAACACATAATTCTCACTTTCTTTCTCACAGAGCAATTTTAATAAAAATGATCTGATCAATTACAATTTCAATATTAGAAAATTCATTCTTGTATAAATTATATTACCAACTCTTTATTACATGTCCATGTATAATGTTGAGCTCTATTATGAGAAACAGTGTGAATGTGATATAATTATAAGAGATGGTATTTCCTGTACTATAAGACATAGAAACTATCAACATTCAATGGTGTCTTATCTCTTAGTTGACCAGCGTCATCTTTCCTGAAGTCATTTTCATCATCTATGAAGTGGCAGTATACATATTATGTGATACACACAGACAGACAGACAGACACACACACACACATGTAACATATCAATATATTGACCCATTGAATACTGAATTCTCAATCCCATAGGCTTCATACAGAGACCACCCAGTTCCAATTTTATAAATATTACTGTATACAGTTTGAGTCAAAAAAAAGTTTACACCTAGAAAATTGCCAATCATTTTAAAAATGATCTATGAACAGTAAATTAGTATACATCTTATGACAGAGTGTTTTATCCCAAATCATTTGGTATCATTTTTGTGTGGTATGTGTTCACGCTTGGATGAACAGGAGGCATTATTTGCGAGGGTGCAAAAATTGACTTGCGGCAAAGTTGCTTATGTGATGTTTAAATAAAACAATTGGGATTTGGGTATTAATTCGGTCTTTGCAGATCCAAATAACATCCCTTAACAAGTTACTCATACCACACATATCAAATATCAATGAACATGTATGCGCGTGTCTGTGTGCGTGTGTGACTTTGCTTCTACAAAAAGCATATGCAATTCATTCTCTCACTCCGCTAATCCCAAAATAATACATGCTGTAGGCATCACTTTGGCGCAAGTCGATTTTGCACTCCCGCAAGCAATGCCTTCTGTATTACTATTACTGTACACAGAAATATGAATAGGACTACGCGACACATATCGATATCTATCCGGTCCTGATAGATATAATAATTTACCAAATATATCAATTAGTAGGCGGTTTCCCTGCAAAATTTGTATCATCACGTATTAGTCAAAAAATATTCTTTCACATGATTGGTAATAAGAGTTTCCATTTCATTTTTTGAGAGGGGGGTTTCCAAAATGGGTCTTTCCCTTTAATAGGAAGTTTTCCAGGGGTAGTTTCCCTCAGGGCAAGTTGTCAATTTGAAACTGTTCAAAGGGAAAGGGGGATGGCGGTAGTTTTTAGGTTAAGTAGCCGTTGGATAGTAGTCCATTTAGTCCAGGGGGGGGGGGGGTGTTTCACAAAGATCCTAAGTTGAACTTATCTCTAAAATGGACATAGCAATTATGGAAAGCTTTTAGCATCTTTGAAAATATTTGTTAAAAAGTTATTATAAAAGGCATAAAATGTTGATTCAAATCATTCATATTTTATATTATCAAGGAGATTTCTTGATGTGGAATTTATGAAGTCTAAAAAAACTTGAATTTTTGCTTTTGAATATATTTTATTGTAAGGCTACAAATGGCTCTCCATAATATTTAAGTCCAAATGGCTCTCCATAATATTTAAGTCCAAGTTGGAGTTAAGTTCGACTTGGGATCTTTGTGAAACACCCCCCAGAAATCATACACACTTTAAAACAAACATGGTATTTGTATCACTTACTTTGGAATGGTGATAATATTGAATAGGACCTCAGATAACCTTTAACAAGTATTACAATCACAAGCCTCAAACCAAGCTCTTTAAAAAAAATATTAAAAAGTTGATATGTGCCTGTCACTTTTACATGCCACACACAGGAGTAAGACATGACTTCAGAATATGGGCCATAATGTCCTGGTGCAACATTATACTTATCATGGGATATATATACCAAAGGCTACAAGATTATTTAACTGTTTCCAGTGCAAGATCAATCTATACCAGTGTATAGAATAATTAAGTAAAAGTGACTCGATAACATTGTTGAAGCTTAATAAAAAAAAACTGTGTAATTTTGGTATAAAATGTTACTTTGTAGTGGACTACGAATATCTCATTTCATTTTTGCTGCAGTAGTTTATACAAAAACAAAAACTCAAATTGACTAATTGACACAATATAATTTTTTTCATAACAACCACATTTCTACACACTTCTGCCAGATTTATTTTGGGTTTAGCATACAACAGGTTAAAAGATTTAAAATTACTGCTTTACCGACATTTATTAGTTCATTCCTTTAATCATTCAATGACAGATATTCCTCATGTTTGTGACAGATAAACCCAATGGGTGGTATTCTCATAAGTTAAGCTGGGACTAAGCCCAGACTAAACTAGAATTTTAGTTCACACTTCTATGGAATGCTAGGTTTCATCTTCCTCCTTCAATATTCATGACAAAGATAATCTACCAAAGACTTTGTTGAAATTCACTTCATACTAATATTATCCTTTTCTTTCCATTTCAATGCAAAATTAATTTTTTGGACACTTTTCATTGAAGGATTAAAATAATCTGTACAGGGTAAATGAGTTGGCAACAGGATCGATATCACACAAAAACAAAGCCATATTTACTGAGGTAAGTCAAATTTTGTTACTTCGCTAGTCAGCTTGATATAGATAATAATAATATTATATGGCTTTGTTTTTGTGTGATACAATAATATATTGCTCTCGCTATGACAATATTGAACTCTTCTGATTCGTTCAATATTGACATAGCTCAAGCAATATTTTCTTGTATCACACTCAAAGCCACCCAATATTATACAAATATCTCCGTTTGCTGGATTTATCTCATGCTAGCTGTCCTAGGATGCCTGTTGAAGGCCATATGTTCTCAATCGTCAGTTATAAGTCTTAAGTAGGTCTGTGGACATTCTGTTGAAACGCATAATATTGCTTAAACATGCACTTTTTTTGTGGGGGGGGGGGTCCAAGCAATCATACTAAAGGCTTGATCAGCTATGACGTGGCAAAACCGTGAGGGTTTTATTATGATGACGTGAAGTGTGATACATTTCATATAATAAACTTGATATAATCTTATAATACAGAGCTTAGTGAATACATGTGGGACCTTTGTTGCATGCAGATGCCCTTCATTTACACAGATGACTGTGGAGGGGCTTTCTTTTGGCGGCAGTTAACCTTGCCATATCTGAACGAGCATTTGGGATCGTTTTTTTTAGGAAATAACTCCGGTTTTCAAGAATGCTGCATCTCCACACCTGGCACACCAGTTATTCAGCATGGAATTCCCAAGTTCATGAGCACTGTCAAGGCTAGTACTCAACTGCCACGACTGTTTCTGTGTCACACGCCCAATCCACTGAGAAAATAACACAACCTTAACGCTGAACCGGTCCTTGCCTCTCCTTTTTCTCGACAGTTGGGGGATGGTGCGATGAGTGGAGGCACCGCTATATAGGTGATTGAGAAGGAAAAAAAAAAAAACAAGACAGAATCTGGACTACATGTATGTCAAGGCCTGATCATTGAAGACCACACAAATGGGCTTCATAGCCAATTTTCTTCTTCCTCTTCTTCAGAGCCACTCTCATCCTCTTCCTACGCAATCCACCCTATGAGGGCCTCCCCAAGACCAAATGATTAGCAACTGAAGCAGGAAGTCCAGTCCAGTCCAGTTCCACATTGCATTCCAATAAATAGTCATACAAATGATGATATGGCAGGTGGCAATAGCTTCTTAAGTCTTCAACAATGCTTTGCAATGTCCCGGGCATCAGTAATGGTCTTTGTATCTCACATAGTCTTTCACAATGTTGGCAATGGGTAAGAGATTGATATGGTGTAGTCCTTTCTGACCAAGTCTATGGCGGATAACCAAACGACAATGATCCTGAAGAGTTCTAGGAGTTCCTGGAAAGGTAAGAAAACAAAAATGATAATAATTTGATAAACTTCCAGAAAAATAATAGAATACACAAACAGAGTGTAACATCAATCAAATGTAACATTTAAATGGTCTCTACTGTAGTTTACAACACAATTTCTTCAGTTGAAATACAACCAAAGATTGAGATACATGTATTTTAGAAGACATGAAATAGATATACATGTATATACAGTGTACACACTGTACAATACTATTGCTTTATTCATACAGTCCGTAATAAAAATTCAACTGTTTAAGGATCACAGATATTGTTGCATAATAATATTGCCTTTACCCCGTCACTTAACATATTCCCAAGTCCCCTTGTTTTCTACGAATCAATCAAAATCCAACCCTGGGGTCTACAATTACATTAAGCAAAGAAAAGCGTAGAACTCAAGACTAATTTCCTTTGTTATGTCACATTTCGATCAAGAGCTTGAGCCTAGCGTCGGGTTTAATTTTCAGTAGAATAGTGGCATAGTGGTTGGGTCCAGCAATTGAGGGGAGGGTACTTGCAATGTTGGAATAGGGGCACTGTTAATTTGTTATGTTCGCAAAATGCAAGAAAACAAAAATATTACACAAAGGGAAGGGGTTCAAATAGCCCTACTGTTCCCCCTTTTTTTCTTTACCTCAATTTTTGCCATTCAATGGGGAGGGGGAAGAGGAGGCATACATTCATCCATAAACGTATACATTTTAAATCAATTTTCTCAGACAAATACAGGTACATGTAGATGTTTCTATACCTCATGATAGAACTTACTTGATGGCACGGTAAGAACTGACAAACTAGCACCGGTGTCTCCTTCATTCAAAGACTTGTACATTTCAAGAGGAGTCTTTCCATCATCATTGACAGCATGGCTATCAGCACCAAACCTACACAGCAATACACAACAAGCTGTATCGTCTTTCATCGCTGATAGGTGTAAGGGTGTCTGTCCATCTTCAGACCTACCGAGGTTAGGGCTAGCACCGTTCAGCAGGAGCAGTCTGGCTAAAAACATATTTCCTTTCAAGATGGTATACCTCAGAGGGAAACCGCTCTGGATATCAATGTCTGAAGCATACGCCAAGAGCAGCTTGACGCAGGGAACCTTTTCCCTGATGATGGCAAGCTGCAGGGGGCTTGTACCCTTGGTGCTCAGAGCGTCCACTCTCGCTCCTTGCTGCAGGAGCATCCTGACGAAGGACTCCCTACCGTAGTGAGCTGCTACATGGAGAGGTGTCCAGCCATCGGAGCTGGGTGAGTTGACCAGGTCATACTTGTTGTCTTTGTCGTATTCTAGTAGAAGCTGAGCTAGACGGGTTCTTCCATGCATGGCTGCGTAGTGCAGACAGGTGAATCCTCCTATCCCATCTCTAGCACATGGAGAGCCTGAGTGGGAGGTTAACAAAGAAAAAGAGGGCAAATACGTTCCATAAGTCTTCTATACAGACTGAACAATATCAAATAAGTCTATAAATAAATTCTGTGTAACCTCTTCTGCACAGGTGACAGTCAATAAACATTTATTCCACTATTACATTGCTCTTGTGTTTTTGTGCAATCAGTGCTTGAAAAACACCCCTTTTAAAGGAATCTCCATGACAACGATTTCACTTATTTTTTTCACTTTTGTAATATTTTTTTCATATTCTGTAAAAGATAATGCATTTTACATATATGCAGCATACTTATGGGCAGGTTCAAGAACCGATGATTTTTGTTGGGCCTAAGGGGTTTATATCACAAAATCTTGGTCCTCTTATTATTGTAGGTAGTGTCGAAATGGCAAAATAAATGATAGAATTAGGAAAAGCAATCGGATATACAAATATATATTAATATAGACAAAAAAGCCTTAAAAAATTAGAAAAGCAGAGTGAAATCTATGAAAAAGAAGGACGGAATGAAAAGGTGATGAAGATAAGAATAAGCTTGGGTCACACTTTCAGGAGTGGATATGTTGCCGGACTGTCGATCACAAGGTCTGTAGTTGAGTCCCATCGCGGCACTAATGTCCTTTGGCAAGACATTGATCTACATTTGCCACACTCCACCCAGGTGAAGTAAATGGGTACCTAGTAGGAATTTATTCCTTGTAACGCAACACCCGTAACAGCTGCACTACTAAAGCCATGGTAATTATGCTGCATTATTGTAGAGCGCTTTAAAAATTCTGATAAACTAAGTGTTAGGCACTATATAAGCAAATGTAATTATTACATGAATTAGGATACAGGATGGCAAAATTCCTACCTTGATGTTCAAGGAGTTCCCTGAGAACCCTCTCCCTTCCTCTTGATGATGCAAGATGAAGAAGAGTCCAGCCATTACAGTCAGCCTCATTGGGAGACAACCCGATCAATAGAAGCTCTTTGACGCGTTTTACGTTACCAACGGCAACAGCTTGTCTCGCCTCCTGGTTCATTGGATCAACACAGCTGAATCTGCGGGTTCTCTTTCTAGTTGGTCCTCTCACCATCATGTTGAATTAGTATATCTAGAAGAAAATGTCATGTACATGTAGATAGTTAGGCAATCAGTAATAGTAGGCCAATTTCAAGGTGTAAACACTATATATTAATGTTATGTCTTTGTTTAAAGTACATTGGTACTAATTATTTTATCTAATTCTTTGACCAACACCCCTATTACAAATTTAATACTGAGAATGCAAATTGCATATATTGTCCGACATAGCTATAACATATACCGGTAATGCATTTTGCATTCTATTGATATATAAAATGTGAATAGAATACCTTAAGATAATCATATATACATTTTGAATAAATTTGAAAATACATCAATTACTGTACGTGACTTTTTCCTAAGAAAAAATATAGTTTATCTCCCCCCCCCCCATCATTCTTAGTATTTTAGTATTTTAGTCTTTTTAAATAAATGAGTTACAATTGTTACCCTATTATCTATTTTTCACCACATGTAATTATTACCTTCTTGGCTTATTTTGGCTGTGATTTTCCCTAATTAAAAAGTAAAGGTTTTGTGTTTGAATTCAAAAGTCTTTCCAATTAAAGCTTGGTGCATAATAATATGTACAAATCAGCCTGGTACGTCACATTTTCAAGAAAATGGCTGCGCCCAAGTCATGCTAACAGGCATTACATCATGCCAAGAAATCTTTATTTACATATCTCTCTCATACACATTTGAAATATATATTGTACCGGAACATCCTAATCAAAATGCATGAATTCATTCCGTTTTTCAGAATACCTATATAGACTCTACATATTCTTTGGGGTTAGTTCTCCTTTAAACTCTCACCTGTCTGTGTCTCTGATTTGTCTGATTTTTTAGATTAGTTCTTTGTTAAGGCTTAAGGCAGCCTAAGCCCTAACCTAAGGTTAGATTTAACTTTAATTTTAAAGTTTTAAACAGAAAAAGTTGCACATAGAGTCTAGTCTATATTACTTTTTGGGACAAATGCAAAGTTACTGGTTTAAGTGGAGAAACAAGATACATTTATGATAAAGCAGACTATGATGCAATGTATGATAAGATTATGGAAATTGATTGGAATAATGAATTTTGGGAGATGTCCATGGAAAAATCATGGTCTTTCTTCAAAACTACACTGTTAGACATCTTTAATCGTTATACACCAAAGAAAACACTAAACGTAAGTCAGAGGAAAAAACATTGGATGAACAGAGAGACTCTGGAAGTGGTTAGAGAAAAACATAGACATTTCAGAAAGTGGCAAGAGATGAAAAGCGAAAAAAATCGGGAAAAGTATTCTAGTGCAGAAATTGAACAGCAAAGACGTTGTTATAGTAGATCCAGCAACCAAGCAAGGTGGCAGTGTAGGAAGGCGGTGAGTTCATATGAGAAATATATAGCCTCAGGAGTTAAGAAGAATGCAAGAGCCTTCTGGTCATATGTAAACTCAAAAATAACAACTCGGGAAAGTGTCTGTAATTTAACCAAACCTGATGGGAGTAAAACAGAAACGGATCAGGAGAAGGCTGAGGTTTTGCAAGATTTCTTCTCTTCAGTTTTCACCCAGGAAGATTTACAAGATATTCCTCTCCCTTTAGATGTTGAATTTGACACTCCACTAGACGACATACAGATTACGTCAGGAGATGTGTTTGAATTACTGCGTAGACTTAAGCCTAATAAATCTCCGGGGCCTGACAAAATACATCCCCGTCTACTAAAAGAACTAGCAGATGTGTTAGCTCTACCGATTTCTTTGCTGTTCCAAAAGAGTCTTGAAAGTAAACAGTTACCCCAGGACTGGAAATCTGCAAATGTTACCCCGATTTTCAAGAAAGGTAACAAAAGTGATAGTAAAAATTATAGGCCAGTTAGTCTAACAAGCATTATTTGTAAAATGATGGAGAATCTTGTGCGTAAGCAATTGCTTGACCATCTTATGACGAATGATTTGATTTCAGTTCACCAGCATGGGTTTGTAGTTGGTCGGTCTTGCATCACCAATCTTTTAGAAGTGTTGGACCAGTGGACACAGATTTTGGATGATGGAGGCACAGTAGATGCCATATATTTGGACTTCATGAAGGCGTTCGATACGGTGCCTCACCACCGACTGCTTCTCAAATTAGAATTGTATGGAGTTCGTGGGAATGTACTTGCATGGTTAGAGTCTTTTCTGAGTGGACGGCAGCAAAGAGTAGTGGTCAGAGGCAAGCAGTCTAAGTGGGGCAAAGTCCTGAGTGGAGTGCCGCAGGGCAGTGTGTTGGGTCCATGTTTATTTTTGCTATTTGTCAATGACCTTCCAAAAGTTGTCAACTCAAATATTTCGATGTTTGCAGACGACACAAAGTTGTATGTCCGTGCTGATACTGCAGATTTAAGAAAGCAACTTCAAGAGGATCTGTCACGTATGGAAGAATGGGCTGAGAAATGGCAGCTTTGCTTTCATCCTGATAAGTGTACTGTTTTAAGGCTTGGGAAGTTACCGGCAGAAGCCTCTACAGACTATTGTATGAAAAAGGGGACAGACTCTGTAACACTATCTGTTACAAAAGTAGAAAAGGACCTAGGTGTCCTAGTAGATTCACAACTATCATTTAAAGATCACATTTCCCAAACAGTTCTCAAAGCGAATCGAGTACTTGGAGTTATCCGTAGGACATTTATGTACCTCAATACTGATACTATGCCGTTTTTGTTTAAAGGCCTCGTTAGGCCCATTTTAGAATATGGACAAGCCGCATGGTCCCCATACAGATTAGGAGAACAGAGAATGTTGGAGAGCGTACAAAGACGTGCAACAAAGATTATTCCTGGCCTTAGAAATTTAACATACCAGGAGCGCTTGACCAAACTCAAACTACCAACTCTTGTTCACAGGCGTAAAAGGGGGGACATGATCGATGTGTATAAGTACGTGAATGGCTTGTACACTGTGCAAGAGATGCCCTTTAAGATGAGTACAGAAGATCGAACTCGAGGTCACTCTAGAAAACTTGAAAAGAAATATTCAAGGCTAGATATAAGAAAATACTTTTTTAGCAATAGAGTCGTGGAACTGTGGAACGGTCTCCCAGAAAACGTTGTGGCAGCTGGGTCGGTAAACTCTTTTAAGAATAGACTTGATAGTCACTGGTCAAAGAGTGTACCAGTAAGCCTTCTGTATGAGCCGGTCTAGGTGTTGTCTATTGTCTCATGTTATTACACAACCTCCTCCCTCCACAAAATAGCAGTAATCACGGAAGAATCCTGGATCGATGAACAGGCTTAGACCTACAACATCGTGTTTTAAAGTAAAGTAAGTAAGTAAAGTAAAACAAAACATTGAAGAAAAAATTAAGACAGCAACAACAAAAATCATCATCAATATCATCACCCATCACCACCAACAACAATACTTCATTAATATCAAAACAATAACAAAGATCAGCTGTCCAGTTTGTCGACGCAGGACCCATCCCACTCGATCGGTAGGCGCAGTCCGTTACACACAAAGCTTAAAGCACTGGCACTGGCACTGCACTGCAGGCTGTGCTGTACGAGAAAACCACACTGCACTGCAGACTTGAAATTCGTCAATACAATTATCGTGTTCGATTTTATTCACAATAAACACGAATGAGACTCAAGTAAGGTGTATAAACATCGCAGGCAAATACATTTCATACTTACAAATACTTCCAATCTGATTATTAATGACGTTTCACGGCAGCTGCGATACTAATTGCTCTCTGACAACGCCAAGCCCAAGGATTTGTTTATTGTTGAAGCCAATTCGGCCTTTCATGCTGCCCAGAGCTTCGGCCAACACTTTCGTAGCCATGGCCTCTGCAGCGGTCCCCACACGGGTAAAATACGACTCGGCTGATAAATTGAGCGAATGAACCGAGGTCGAGGATCTAGGGATATCGGATGCGGAGGGGGCCCCACTATACATTCTTGGATTCTTTTCCTCCTAAAGGAGTCCGAAGAAGAGTTTTGACTGGAGGTGGAGAATGAAAATGATGTTGATGTAGAAAGCTTGGGAGAAAGCTCTGAATGAGGATAATTAAGCTATACATGGACAAAGTGAACTTAAAAAAAAAAAAAAAAATCATTGTAGCTCTCGAGCTTTCATGGCCATCGATCCTGTACATTTTTTATTTTCTTGTGTTTGATTTATATTTTCCCCTTTGTATTTTGTCCCCCAATTTCAAGTAAGTATGGACTAATCAAATCAAATAGAATCAAATCATATCTAATCAAATCAAATCAAAATGTAATTTAGTTATAAACTCACAGACAGAAATAACATAACGTTTGATGCTTGTTCTCGTTTCATTTACCCGACTGCGATTAGAGAAAGGCTCAGGGAAGACGGTTTAAAAGTTGCAGTCCTCTCCTATAACTACCGAATTATAATTGTTGCCTATACTATAAGAAAATGAAAGGATATTAAAAGTACGTAGCACAATCAAAGTTCCCCATTGCTGTCTTCCCTTTGAAAAAAAAAAAGGAAGAAAAGAGAGAGAGAGAGAGAGAGAGAGAAAGAAAATAGGGCAGCAACGGGGACCTTTGATATGGCTACGCGCTCCATCATTCTCTCAATATTTCATTCTTCTTCACTATGGCCGCAATGTGGAATGAATGAGCGTAATTTTGTTTGGCAGGCTATGCAAGTGTCTTTTATTCTGGCATTTTTAGTATATATATATATATATATATATATATATTCGTTGGCTTATTGAAACATATGTTACGCAAATTTGATTTGTCGCCTTTACCCTCCCCCATTTGATCTAGGAAATTGATTGAGTTGTTCCGATATCGAAGAGAAATGGGGTAGAGGCATGGGCGTCGCTAAAGGGGGGGGGGGATAGGGGATGCGACACCCCTACCTGTCAGGATATTGTCGGCAAAATTGCGCTGCCGTCGGGAAACATGAGAAAGGGGGAGGGAAAAATGAGAAGGAAAGGACTGAACGAAAAGAAAAAAAGAAAATTAAAAGAAAGGAAAGAGAAGAGAAGAAAAAGAGAGGAAGGAGAGGGAAAAAAAGGGAAAAAAGGAAGGAAAAAAAAAGAAAAGGAGAAAAGGAAAGAAAGGGAAGGAAAAAAAAGAGAAAAGGGAAACAAAAGAAACGGGGGGGGGGGGTGGGTGAAAGAGAGGAGAGAGAGAGAGAGAGAGAGAGAGGGGGGTAAGGGGAAAAAGAGAGAGAGAAAGGGTTGTTGGGTGGAGTCGCCTTGCTGCTGTGTCGGGTCAGCTGTGTCGGTATTCTTGCTCGATCCCTGTGTACTATATCAATGCAGAAGTTTAAAGTGGGACATTAATTGGCATTGATGGTTGTCGGTAATATTGGTGGCTAGTTTTGTCGGTGATCGGTGGCCTCTACACCCCCCCCCCAGTGGCAGATCAAGGGGGCGGGCCCCCTTCCCTGAGGAAAAAAACGTGTAAAAACACGTTATTTTTACCTTTTTTTGGAGATGGGCCCCTCCCCTGGTGATCAAGGGGGGGGGCGATTTTTTTAGTTTTCGAGTTCCAACAAAAAAATTAATGCTCATCCCCCCCCTTCTACTGAGCGAATTATCGACCGCTAAATATTTTCTCACGAATTGGGCCCCTCCCCTGCCGCCGGCTGGATCCGCTCCTGCCCCCCCCCCAACACTGAATAAGGTTTATCGACGCCCCTGGGTAGAGGGTGGGGGGGGGCACAAACAGTAGTCATCATTTCTTTCGAACACGCTGCTATATTATGTACATCATATGTTGTTCTTCTATAACACCCATTGGTGTAGGATGAGGCACTGGACGGATTTAGGCGCATCGGTCTTACTCGGAAAATGAGATGGGAGTTCACATGGCTACTGATTGATAGAGGGAGGAGTGGGGTTTGTACAGGCGTTTAGCTATCTCGATCACCCCCCTCTCTCTCTCTCTCTCTCTCTCTCTTTCTCTCTCTCTCTTCATTTTTTTTCACCACTCAATGGGCAGAGGTTGGGGCACATTTTCCATGCCACCTGTAGCTACGCCACTGATTACAATGAGGCATTCAAGTATAAAAATAAAATTATTTCATCATAAAAAGATAACAATAACCGGAGTAGAAAAATCATTTCTTCTCAATTCTATGGTTTTTATTATACACTTCATATACTCTTTAGGCAGACCAAAAAACTGCGTGTTATTGTTTATACCCTGTCCTATACATTATTGTTGACTTGAGTATATTACAGGCACAGTAGTCTATGAACTGGACTTGAATATAAGTTAAATATTCTTTGCCAGCTTACATCAATGAAATATATGAGTCGACAGTATATGACGAGCAAACAAAATACCTAAAACATAACAATCAAGACAATCAATTAAGTATTAAAAAAAACATATATTTTCTGCCCAGTATGTGTTGCTTTCATTGCTGATTCTGCCCATACTAGCTCGGGGAAATAGTTGAAAACCCCTAATCACAAACTTTTAATCACTGTAATCAGAGAATTTAAAACACAATGTCATCAATGTAACCCGCAGCATATTAATTTTTCCACACTCGAGTCCTAAAAATGAATTATATTGAATTAAATGAAATGAAAATAAAGTATAAATAATATTTACATTTACATCATTGGCTAAAGTTGAAAATGTGACTATATTATGCCTGAATTTGTGTGTGTGCATTGTTCAATTAACATCTCCCCCCCCCCCCCCCCCGGACAGCGAAATCGCCCGTTCATTTTGGATATAGAGAAAAGGGGGAAGATTTACATTTTTCAATAATCATAAAATGGATGCAGAGCAATACGACACCTACGAGAAACAGTATTGCAAATTATTGCTATTCATATTATGTACAAATTACATGTTGTATATGAAATATTTTCTATGTATTTTTATAGTCGTAGAAATACATAATGTATGGAACTTTGGAATATGTTACAAATTATTTTCAACAACTATTTTGTAACGTGATTTTACAAACATTTTTATTCTTTTCATAACTATATTGACAGAATGAGTAGCTGAACCGACTAAGGGGCACATCAACCCCTGCAAAACATGCGATATAGATCATGTGCACTTACTTATATAAAGACATCATGAAACGGTGAACAGTAATTTCAGGGGACATTTTTGTCCCACTCTTAAAGAATTCCCGTCACTCTTTTGAGTATGTTACAATGAATATCGTACCATGCACTACAGATAATTATCACATCAGAATATATATACACGACCACACACCTCTACTTTCTTTTTACAAATAAATCGGTATAAATTATCATTAATAATGTACATTATTGTCTCAAAAAAATGTGTATGCTGTCTATACTATATTTCGTCTAGTGCTGCATAGATATGGCCCAAGTATAACGACTTTACTTTGATTAGTTTTCATTACATGCATTAAAACTTTGTCAAAGGTACTATGTCCCATAAATTTTGCAGGCCCCATAAAAAAAGAAAAGGTTAAATTCCAACGGCATTATAAAGACAATATTAATTTAGAATTTCCCTTAAAACGAAAGGGCTTGAAAATGGCTTTTAATGGGAAAATAACGACCATTAGTTGTCGAATCTACTTAAGTGGTTGCAATTACCTAAGACCCTTTTACCGAACGGTCGTACGTTTTGTGCCGCACAAAGATTCAATCAGTATATTTTTGACAATTACAAATAGTGGGTTGTTGATGTAGTATCTGAAAAAGCACCCTTTTGATTTTTTTGTGAGATCAGTGCTTGAAAAACACCCCTCTAAAAATTAAGGAAAACGTCGACAACACCGTAACCCTGAAAAAGACACCCTACGACGTTTTTTTTTCTGGACGCGTGTTGGGAGTGACGCCGCCCCCGCCCCCGGCCCCGGCAACCATCCCGTCGTTGCAACAAATGAAGAGTACTGTGAACTTCAGTTCAAGACGTTTTCATTATAAGATTGCTGATATTAAATGAACAAGTCTTCACTTTAGTTTGTAGCCTGAAACAGTAGCGTACGCAGGATTTTTTCAAGGGGAGGGGGGTTAACATTTTTAAATCGGGCCGAAAATTTCGCAACGACTCAGCCAACCGCTGAATAAGCGGGGGGGGGGGGGGGGGTTGTAAGAGGATATTTTTTTTGGGGGGTCCCAAAATTTTGAAAATTTGACCGATCGGGAGGGGGGGGGGGTTAAGGTCATCTCTTTTAGGTCATCCATTATTATTTTTATTTATTTTTTGAATTAAACAAAAAACAAAAAACAACATCAACAGCTCAAAGGGGGGGGGGGTTGCTCCAAAATACACAAATAAAAACAAATGCAGTGGGGTTAACCCCCATCCCACCCCTGCTTACGCGCCTGGCCTGAAATAAGTCCAGTTTTATGGGGTCAAGCAATTATTATCGTTCATTCCCAATACCACCATTCACGGATAGAGATCTGCCTTCCAAAGCCGCGTTTAGAAAGTGAACATGAACTGCTGGACCGTCTGATCGAATGCTTTCATCCTGACGTTCTTGGAACGAGTCACACTCGTATTTCTTACTCGTACTCTTCTTAGAAGGCACATCTAGAGTGTGAGCCCCTCCTGTCCACTGCCTCTGAAATACCGTACCTCCAAACAATTTCACCCGACGACGCAGAGCGGCGAGGGACAACTCGTAGTCATGCGGCGTCGACCGATCAATCCGGAGAATAACGACGCCCTCCTGGTCGGTAAGCTCACCCGAGCGCTTGTCGTAGTTGCCGTGTAAGCCGTGCTCGACGACGTCGGCGCCGATGAGTTCTTCGTGGAGCGAGACACGAATTCCGACGGTGACCTTGAGGGCGAAGAGGAATATGAAGGAGGTGATGGCTGTCCAAACCACCAGACAGACCACGGACAGGAGCTGGACACCAAGCAACCAGAAACCTCCTCCGTGAATCAAACCTGGAAACAATAATGTAAATGTCAACATCATTTTGTGATAACCCAAAACCTCATTTTCCATAAAGAAATATGCCCTATTCCATGGGTGTCGATCCCGGGGGGGGATGGGGGGGGGGGGGATATATCCCCCCCAATATTTCAGGTGGGGGGATGGCCTGTACAATCATCCCCCCAATAATTCACCCTCAAAAAAAAAAAATAAGAGAAAAAATTATGATGAGAGCCCGATGAGAGTATTTATTTATTACTCGCAAGATGACCGTCAATATACACATTTTGTTATCTCATTTTCATAATACATACATATATACGAGGTAAATGAGACAACCGTATATGAGACAAGAATAAATTGAATTCTCGCTCATACGGCTTCATCAGGAATTGATGAATTTATTCAATTTGTTCAATCAACAGCATCATAGAAATGCAGTGCGCCAAATGCAAAGACGCAGCGTTAAAAGCAACGAGCTAAATGTTAAGCGCGAAGCGCAAAAGTAGCAATTTGCAACATCAGACAATCCTGGATAATGTAAACATAGAGAAACTCTGTGATAAATTCGTGATGAGATTAGAGACTAGTCTAGGAGAAAGATTTTCGGACATTAGCATGACTTATAAGATAGTTCACTAGTTGTTATGTTGTTTCCGTTCACCCTTTTAAAAATTTACGTCATTGTGTCTTTATATTTATTTTTGTTACTCATTTTATTTCCTGATATTTCCTAAACAAATTTCATTTTTGGAGAACGAATATTACGTCACAACTTGTTTTTGTTTTATTGCAAAGCTGATGTAGGCCTATGTAACTGACGTATTTCATACAAGTAATTTATAAATGTTCGTGATATCACATGCTTTTCAACCAAATTCGCGTTTCTCCATTTCTGTTGCAAACTCATGTCTGACACATTCCCAAAAGCCAGGAAGAGCATATATTTTGTAAAGTCACTAATGGGCCTAATTAGTGGCCGTTAACACTAACAGTAGTATACAATTCCTTTCTAGAAGCTATTGCGACAAGCACTGCCGGGAGGTAACATGCTATCCACCATTCGGGCTGTGCATGCAAAGATTTGCAAACGAACGTTCCATACGTACATCATGTGGGGAAACTGAATTCAGACAAGGATTAATATAGAGAACAGTACAACGAATCATCTTCTTTCTCTAATAATTTAGTGAGACGGCAAAGCTTCCGCGCTTTGCGCGGGAGGGGGGGGGGAACTAAATTCAGACTAGGAATAAGAGTTATAATCAAATGAAACGTCAAAGTACACGATACAACGAATCATCTTCTTTTTCTTATAATTTAATGAAATGTGAAAGCTTCCGCGCTACGCGCGGGATGGGCGAAAATGATTTCAGACGTGGATTAAGAGTAATAATCAAATGAACATCAAAGCTTCCGCGCGGGGGCGAATTGCACTTACATGTAGACAAGGACATGGTACAACGAATCGTCTTCCTTCTCTAATAATTTAATGAAACGGTAAAGCTTCCGCGCTTAGCGCTGGATGGGCGAAAATTAATACAGACAAGGATTAAGAGTAATAATTTATTGCAACGTCAGAGCTTCCGCGCTTTGCGCGGGAGGGCGGGGGCGAATTGCACTCAGACAAGGACACGGTACAAAGAATCGTCTTCTTTCTCTAATAATTTAATTCAAAGCTTCCGCGTTTCGCGCGTGAGGGGGGAAACTGAATTCAGACAAGGATTAAGAGTCGAGAATGGTACATCAAATCGTCTTCTTTCTTTAATAATCTAATGAAACTTCAGAGCTTCCGCGCTATGCGCGGAGGAAGGGGAACTTGTTCAAACATTAAGGATTAAGATTCGAGAATGGTACATCGAATCGCCTTCTTTCTTTAATAATCTAATAACCCGTCAGAGCTTCCGCGCTACGCGCGGAGGAAGGGGAACTTGGTTCAATCAAGGATTAAGAGTCGAGAACGGTCCAACGAATCGTCTTCTTTCTCTAATAAGTTAATGAAACGTCAAAGCTTCCGCGCTTCGCGGGGGAGGGGGAATCTCCCCCCTCCCTGTACCCAACCCCCTAGCTTTGCGTGCCCACTACCGCCCCCTAAAATGAAATCCTGGCTACGCCCTTAGGGAGGGGTGCAACCTGCCACCCGCTTCTACCTCTTGGTTGCTTTGATCCATTGCCGAAAATATTTTGGCACCTATCATCCCCCCAACCACGGATACAAATCGACACCCTTGCCCTATTCGTAAATATTAAATCAAGAGCATGACCACTCAATCAATAGCATAGGCCCGCATCTATCTACAAGAATAATTTCACAGATAGGCCCCATGAATCACGAAAAATTGATCTTGCATTTCTTAAGATATCATCGGTTTAGCAGAGAGTAGTAAAATGACTAGAAAGAGGGAGATAGAGAGATGTATTTTCACATCTAAATGAGATAACATTTTGACACTGCTATCTACACAAATCTACTGAACAAAATAGTTTCATTTGTTATCAATTCAGAGCCTACAAAAGCTTCTTTCTTGAAAATAATAGCAAATCTTACCACCATATTACGCAACATCTAATGATATTTACAATCCCATCTCTATTATTAGGCCTATCTATTTTGGGTCACTGCAGTTTGTACACAGTCAATCCAAGTAAAAATATTTCGAACACACAACCACACCCTTTCTGCATCCTGCCCCATCGATGGATGAAGACTAAATATATAAAGAATCAGGGAAAGAGGAGAAATGGAATTAAAGAAGGGGATTTGGACGAGAAAAACTGACAAAGTTAGGAACCAATCCCGCACCACCCCAACAGACTAATTGTAAATTCCCAGTAAAACTGGTGCCCCCCATACCAGTGTCACTCCATTGGTAATAATATATATATCTGTAAAGCGCTTTGATAGGGCCTTCGGTCCTGAAAAGCGCTATATAAGAACTAGCTATTATTATTATTATTATTGCTGGATTCACGCTACACCGTACGTCCGTATCCGGACACCTACCCCCTTGGCATCCACCCCGGATAACCACCCCTAGGATAACCACCCTCTAGGGCAACTACCCCCTAGGGCAACCACCCTCTAGGACGACTACTTCCTAGGACTACTACCGCCCGGACAACTACCCCAGACAATTACCCGCAGACAACTACTCCCTAGGTCAACTGCCCCCTAGGATAGTTGTCCGGGGTAGTTGCCCTATATAGAGGATGGTTGTCGTGGGGTAGTTGTCCAAGGGGTAGTTGTCCAGGGGTAGTTGTCCTAGGGGATAGTTGTCCTAGGGCGTAGTTGTCCGGGGGTAGTTGTCCTAGGGGTAGTTGTCCTAGCCTGAGGGGGTGGTTATCCGAGGGGGTGTCCTAGAACCCGTACGTCGAGTGTAGTGCATGAATTACCATTGTGACGATTGAAATCTCCCAGGGTATCGATCTGACCAAAGATCCCCACTGCCATCAAACTCCAGATCGCAGGGAAGAAGTGAACGGAGATAACACTGGCAGGATCATCAATCTTCAACCATTCGATGAAGGGTGTTGACGCACAACCTATCACCCCACCCACAGCGCCGATGATGATCGCCTCCCACGGGTGGGCCAGAGCACAGTACGCTGTCCAGAAAACAAAGAAAATCATCATGCAGGTACAAAACCAAAAAGGATTCAGGTTATATTTATGATCTTGGTTTAATAATAATAATAAATATGGTGATAATAAATTCTTCAAGCAGCATTTCAGAACCGAATGCCCTCACAACGCGCGCTAAAACAGTGCAACTTACTATCAATGGTAACATTTATAAAAAAAAAAAGATAAGGTTTTTTGTGGAAAACTTCGACGTCTATACTGGGAAGAGTGTTACAAGTTTCGAGCCTCCTTTTATATTTCCATGATTTGACGGCCCTCTGTCGCCATAGGTCTTAGTTTGGTCATGGAGATAGAAGAGAGATCTCCATGGTTTGGTTTAGATGTCACATTGTATAAATATCGAGAAAATTAAAGAATTTTAAAAACCCATTATGATCAAAACTATACTGTTCATAAGCGAATCAAGGGTTGTATCTTGCCCACCTCGTTTTATAGAGAGAGAGAGGGAAAAAAAGTATGTCGGGGGAACAATAATGCTTTACTTATCCCTCCTCAATGAGCGAGACTCGGGGATGGAGCGGGGGAGGGGGGGGGGGGGCTTTGAAAAAAAGCTTTTAGCTGACAAGGGCAATCCATCCCATGAGTGGATAATAAATAAAAATAAAATTAAAAAAATACATTTTCCTTCTCTCTCAGGAGCGGGGGGGGGGGGGGATATATTTCGACGGGTTTCAAACACGACGCCACCCTTTCTTACAACCCTGGATCTTAAGCACATTGTGTGGTGGATATTGTTGCCATACAAAAAGCCATTATTTTGATTACTTGGAGCTTGGATACTGCAGAGGAAACTTTGAATTTATCGAATGAAACGATTTATATTCCCCCCCCCCAGAAAAAACTATAGAGGATAACTAATAATCCTGATAATGACTGCCACCAAATTATTAAATTTCAAAATGAAGTATTTTTCATGTAATATATTAGTTATAAAATATAATATACTTAGTTATAAAACGCAAAGGATTTCCTTCTATTTAACGAATCAGTCAAATTTAATCAATGTTTAATATTTGGCCATTCTTCTTTCCAAATGCATTTGAGCGAAGAAATTATCTAATACTTCACAAAAACGCTATTGTATTTCTGTATACAGACAGAACAGAAACGCTGCCCAATGTTTAGGCCTACTTCATTTTGGAGTACGAACACTGTGTGTTAATTTCATTTAGTTTTAAATATATAGACAACTAGCACTGGCTGTAACATTGTAATTCCTACCCCTCTCGCCAATCTAATCTTTATAGTGGATTAATTCTCTGTTTTATAATTTGATAATAAGAATTTCGAAACTGGCATTTTTTCCAGGAAATGTGCTTTTCTTTTCTGTTTATAATTAAGTTGTGTCAAATACACGCCACTGTGCTTTTCAATCAAATTTGTTACATGGAAAGCTATCCTCTTATGAATTAAACGACGCACAATTTAAAGAATATCAACTTTCTGGAACGCGATATGCACATATTTGAGTCTAAAAATACCATCATGCAATTAGTGAGAAAATCTGTCCTCTGTTCTCCTCCCACTAACGTCCGTTCTTTTTCCATACACTGTTTGCTTACCAAAATGAAGTTCTCATTTTCGGAATGAAAAATTACTCATATTATTAAAGATGACGGGGGAAAGCCCGCTAAATTCTCATACAACAACAAGAAAGAGGTCAACCTGTGTTCTACATACGTATCCTCCTTTAAAATGAAAATCATGAAAGATTGCTTTTTGTATTGAAATTAACATCGCGATGTAGCACACGTAGTATATTCACGTGAAAAGCGATGTGAATTTGAGATATCACTAAGAATATTAGGAGAATCTTTGAAGAAGAAAAAAAGTATTTGCAATCACAATCCCGTGAGGCCTCACAATTAAGCTTAGGAGCAATAGTGATTTATCGTGAAGCATTATCATTATCATTTGATTTCAGTCCAATTCTTGCTTTCTTTTTTTGTAACTTTTTGCTTTATCTTTTCAACTTGTATTGTCTCATTTCCTATAAAACGTTGAGTCATTAATGGAATTAAAACTTCTTTAGATAAATTAGACGAAGAAAACTACACTACACCATTTGTAAATTTTAGTGATAATGTGTGATATCATATTCATGCATAGGCGTTGTTGTTGTTGTTTTTATTTCCGAAATCAGATAAAAATATTATACAAACAAAAATATATAAAATGAAATATTAATACATGTACATAGATAACAATCGGAGGGAAACCCAATTTAGCAATGTTTATAGAACATTATTGTTCTTCCTTGGGTTTCTGGGGGGGGGGGGGCGAAGCCATATTTTGCCCAAGAGCTGACGTATCTTGCCAAACGTAAAATAATGTCCTCAAACTATACTAAAGAAGATAAAACTATAGATAGCCCCAATGCTGCTCGAATATTGGCCTTTAAAAATGCTCGGGGGAAGGTCTACAGCCCCAGCCCTCACCAGCAGCCCCACTTTGTAAGACCATTATGTACCAATTTTCATTTCTTTGTGTACTACAAATTACAAAACTACAAAACACAAAATACAATACAAAACTGAAATACGATCTCTCTCGCTATTCCCGAAAACCCACACATTTCTCCTGATGTAAGGGTCTTCTTACATGCCTTCCAATGGAAAATTGTCGGCTTTATACAGACAATTGAAAAGAAAATGCAATCCCTCTTTATCACATTACCACATTGACACAGGGGGCAGCCTTACGTGCTGTGGATTGTTCGAGTTATTTTAGGTGTTTTCCCTCATGGTCTTCAAACATGAGAGGTGGGGACGGGGGGGGGGGGGGGCGGTGCTAATACTTATACGTCAATATATGAGACGTTTTTAGCTCAACCTTTATAGAGAATGATCTTAGAATGGTTATTACCTGTGATGGATACGAGCGATGCTAACACGGAGTTGATAAGCCACGGAATATTAAAGCGACGATTTAGAAACAGGTAACTGCATGGATAGAAAACAAACATAGAGATTACACAATGCTCAACATTATTATAAGCCCATGATTGTGATGGTATGACGTCGCAAGCGATTTTAAATACAACCCGATTCATGATTCATGATGTTACCTGACGTAATTTTAATGCAGGTTGCTAACAGGCATTTATAAAGACCAGAGGCCTGTTTCATAAAAACGTGTTATTATTAAAAGATACTATGTCCCTTTTGCAGCCAACATCACATTCTGTAGAACTTTGCAAGAATTATGAATACTTATGTCAAGTATGTCCTATCTGTGAAGTTTAAACAATAGCAGTGTCCTAGTATTCAATATATCCAAGGAAACCTGTTTACTTGCTAGACTTCACTGTCAGACATTATTATTGAGTGACTGGCTGTTTTTTTCTTCTTTTATAATAACCTACATACAATAAGCTGTAACAGGTACATGAGCATTTGTCTACACTCTACATCAATAACCCAATACTTGTAATGGCCAAAATTAATCTTTCTGCAGCACAAAATGTACGAACGTTCGGTAGAAGGGTCTGAAAATCAGACTATTAGTTAGGTGATTGCAATCACTTAAGTCGATTCGACAACTAATGGTCGTTATTTTCCCACTAAAAGCCATTTCTAAGCCCTTTCGTTTCGAGCGAAGTTCTATATTAGTAATGTCTTTCAAATGCCGTTGAAATTTAATTTTTATTATTAGGGCCTGCAAATGGGACAAAGTAACAATCATACTGAAATCATTGCATTTGATTGGCTAGAAGCGAAAATGTCATAGATATTGGACCATTGTAACGTTTTATGAAACAGAGCCAAGAATATGACACATTGTGTACATGTTCTTTCGAGCGGAAGAGTAGTCAAACAAGCAACATGCCAGTAACATTTTGGTCAGTGCACTTGACGATGATTACTGAATAAAACGTTGCCATGGTTACCTGAGTGTAATGCCTGTTATACCTCCAGAGATTGATGACAAGATGGTAGAAACAGCTGACCTAAAAGAGGAAGAAAGATTTCAAATTATTACACATAATTAAAAAGATTCCGACTCATTTCTATCTTCATCCTATACTCTTCTTCTGCTTCTTTTTATCTTCTTCCTCTTTTTCTTCCTTTTTTTTTTTCTTCTTCTACTTCTCTATTCCTAATTCCCAATTATTTTTCTTTTTTCTGTTTTCTTCATGGCTCTTCATGGCTCAAAGTTCTTTTATCTTTTCTTTAACTAATGATCAACACGCTTTTTGCCATGAAGGATGATTAGCATACTAAAAGGACTATATGAAGCCATAAAACAACAACAATATGCAACAACATTTTCAAAAAACACACATAAAAACAACATTTTCGTGAACGAAAAAGCAAAGCAAAGCAAAATAAAAAAATATTCATTTATTACGAGGATACCAAATACTTTGTATATACGTTATATACGTTATATACGTTATACATGTTATACATGTTCTTACTTGTTCTTTGTTGCTGTTATGAGTTTATGTTCATGATTTTGTTATTATTAGTAATATGTTTTTTTTAATAATTATTGTTCCTCATTAGGTTTAACAGGGCCTCATGGAAGACCACCACTATTGGTGATAATGAGTCACCCTGTCTAAATAATAGAAATAAATAAATAAATGAAAATATAATACATCTTCGGAAGGTTGAAAGCCAGACGTGAATCCCGATAATAACGAGGCATTTGTGCTCAAATTGTCTCACTTTAAAATTGTTATAATACCGCTAAGAATACCACTTTTGTAATCAATGCTACATTGCACTAACTTCCGGCTACACATATAAAAGAGCTGAGAAAATTGCAAATGTTTATTATATAGTGAAGAATTGAACTCTCAATGATTTCAACTATTTTAAATGCATAAAGATATCTACAAATTGTGCTTGACATGACCTAGGGGTATTTCACAAAGATCCTAAGTCGAACCTAACTCTAAGTTGGACTTAAACATTATGGAGAGCCATTAGTAGCCTCAAAATAAAATATGTTCAAAAGCGAAAAAAACAAGTATTTTAGACTTTTTATAAATTCCACATCAAGAACATAAAACCTACAAATTTTGCTTGACATGCTGTTTTAATAAGATACACAGGCAAAGCAAGAGTTCAAGTTAAAGGCCCACTGCACTACTTGTAGCTACTTGCGCCCTCTATAAAACAAACAATGCCTAATCGGTGACCATTGGACCCCATGATCCTCTTTTTCTTATGTTAACTGAGAGCTGAGTTGATGAGATAACCACCTGTCCAGTGACCTTGCAGGGCAGTCTAATCCCTTCTGTAAACTATGGCAGATAAGCTTTAAAGGGCATTCTATATAGAGTCAACTGTTTAGCTCACTGATAATCACAGCGGATAATTATTGTTCAAGTTTACCTGAGTCCATTATTTTGTTTATTTCAAATTCATGAAAATGTGCATCTGATTCCATATTGAAATCAATAGGTGTCATGTTGTGAACGTCGTAATACAAAGACAGACAGGGGAGAGATAGATAGATAGATCCATGTAGACAGAGAGAAGAAAGAAAAGGAGAGAGAAAGCGTGAGAGAGAATGAGATAGAGAGAGAGAGGGGAAGAGAGAGAGGGGGATGAGAGAGAGAGAGAGAGAGAGAGAGAGAGAGAGAGAGAGAGAGAGACAGACAGAGACAGAGAGACAGAGACAGAGACAGAGAGACAATCATACCTTATAGTCAAGATCCATTTTTGGCCAGCAACGCCATACGTACTACCACAGTTAAAACCAAGCCAACCCCACCTGTAACAGAGAGAGAAAGAGGGAGAGAGAGAGAGAGAGAGATACATATGATTAATATGATTACCCGTGTTTCCAACCAACATTTTTTTTAAATTAACGTTTATTTTCTTACAGACCAAACTAATATTACGAAAGCAATTTATGTTTTTTTCTTCCAATTATTGTGAAAAACAGAATGGGAACTCCATTTTATACTGACCTTTTGTGCTTTGTAAACAATTTTTTTTTTTTTTTTTTGCGTGAGCCGTGAACCCCGATTTGCTCTTTCTCTCTCTCTCTCTCTCTCTCTCTCTCCCCATCTCTCTCGCATACTCCCCCTCTTTCTCATCCCTTTTCTCTTCCTATCTCTCCTTTTGCATGTCTGTTTCGAACTCTTCTATTCACTTAAAATTCTGTCTTTAGCATAGAATTGAATTAATTAGCATTGAATTCGTGGTTCGAAACCCATCACTGTCAGTAAATCCCACGCCAACCGCGGGGTAGCAAGGGAGACAATGATGAATTATAGTCATGTATACATTGAGGACTCCTCAATCCCCCCTCTCTCTCTCTCTCTCTCTCTCTCTCTCTCTCTCTCTTTCTCTCACATGATGCACCCGCAAGCCTACTGTATATTTATATACATGTAGTAGAATGATTCATAACACATGACTCGTTAAGTCAAGGTGTCAAGGTGTACAAATGTGTAGAACAGGTGTCACATGCATATTCACCTGTTTTACTAATTTTTACATACTAGCAGTGAAGGGATGTTCCTTTTTCTACCCGAGGAACTGTATATTTTGTCCTCTTTCTTTGTCCGTCATGTTCATAGTGAGTAGACTAGGGAGATGGATCTTTTTTCCTAAGTCTGCAGGAATGTTCGAATATGTGTCATTGTTACAGTAGTGGATTATTCATTGACGGTGCAAGGACGAAAATCTGCATCAAAAGAAACAATTAAAATAAACACAATGCACGAAACAGAATATAGGTTATTTTATGATTAGAACGGAAACATGGTAAACATGGTCAAACGAGACAGTTCTATTAAAAGAGCCTTTTCTTTATACATATTATTTTTGATATCTATTATACATGCCCAGAATTATATCCTGGAATTATTAATCAAATATTCTTATTCAAAGGTTCTCCTCTCGGGAATTTATTGACTGCATTTATCCACAGTAACCATAGCAACGACGTTCCAGTTGTCCTCTTGTACTAATCTCGTGACATATCCTACCACTTTATATGTCAATCATCTATCAGTGATGAGTTACAATGTTGCTACCCCCTCCCGTCTCCCTGCCTCTGTCCCTGTCTGTCTCTCTGTCTCTCTGTCTCTATGTCTGTCTCTCTGTCTCTGTCTCTGTCTCTCTCTGTGTCTCTGTCTCTGTCTCTGTCTCTCTCTGTCTCTGTCTCTGTCTCTGTCTCTCTCTGTCTCTGTCTCTGTCTCTGTCTCTCTCTGTCTCTGTCTCTGTCCCTGTCTCTCTGTCTGTCTCTCTGTCTCTGTCTCTGTCTCTGTCTCTCTCTGTGTCTCTGTCTCTGTCTCTGTCTCTCTCTCTCTCTCTCTCTCTCTCTCTCTCTCTCTCTCTCTCTCTCTCTTCATTTGTCATCGTCCTGAGATAAGTGATTATTTGCCTTCATCCATTTTATTTGTTTTGCTCCTTTATTTTTCCATACATCATCTTGTTATTCAGATAGTGTATGTCCAAAATTGTAATAAAACATTCTATTGAGTATTATTCTATTGATTTATTTATTTAAGTTTTAATTAAAATAGAAGGTAAGTACATTCAGTCACGTGACAAGCATATATCGAAACGTTTATTGCATTACGAAATTGTAATAATGGGGCACTGTCGAACCACTCTGTGTAATGAGTTAAAGTGGTTGAAATGTGCACAAATAAAAAAAAAATGTAATGTTGTGAAATATTCTTGCATTCGCTGTATTTTGTCATGGTGATTGCCATACAAGTAGCATGGATTTTTATCATCATGACCCTCCCCGCCCACACCCCCGCCCACACACACTAAATAAGTCTTACCTTTCTTGGGAGTAGAAAGTATCAGATTATTAATTGACTTTTTATAACATGATACTTTTACTGCTGGGCAAATGCCAATGCTTATTGGAAAATCGAACTTTAGTTTGCATACGAGCAACGCATGTTTATAATGCATACGGTAGAAATGAAGAGAGGAAATTGCAAAATGGAAAGCGTTTCAAACAATGTGATACCCTCCCCCCCCCCCCCCCGTGTTTTGATGGCTAGACTCATAATCTCACTGAACTTGTACATTCTGATCATTCTGTGGCGGGTTCCTAGAAACCGTCATAAGTCTAACTTCTTGACTATCCCATTGAAACGTGTGTTATAGAATTAACACGGGTTTCAATGGTATAGTCAAGAAGTTATTTATGACGGCAGCATCCTTATTTATGGCCCCAGCATCCTTATTCATTATTATATAGTCATGTCACAGAGTCAATAATATTCAATAAGCCAGTTTATAGTTGCAATCTGAGCATGAGCAGATAAAAGTCATTGCAGGCAAATTGTGAAAAACACGGAGACAATATACTGGATAAGTGCTCATGAAAGTTGTGTAATTATTATTCATTTATGAACCAGCGGTGCACTCCATGATACACAAGTGGAAGTATTCTTTGTAGAGGAGAAAACAGAGGCTATGTATGTTACACCTCTATCGCTGTAGGAGTGATTTTTTCAAAATGTACAGAGTGGGACCTCTTCATGTTTTGAAAATCTGAGGATATTCGGGTCATTTGGGAAATGTGTCAACCGTGAACTGGTCTATTGGCTGAATGTAGTGTGGGTTAGGTCTAGCACAGGGGCGACGGAGCGTCTTTAAAAGTGTGGGAGGGGAGCACTAACAAAAAGGGCACCTTCAAAGGGAAACATCAAAGCGAAAATGTGCAATTTTTAGACAATTTATTTTAAAAGAGGCACTTAAAACTGTCAAAATAAAGCGGACACCTTACAGATTTGAAAAGAGGTAACTATAAGAGGTGAAGGGGCATTTCGTGTACCTGCAAAGGGGAACTCACCTGTGATGAATAGAGGCACCTATGAGAATGGAAAGGGGAACTTATTACGAAGAAAATTGGGCAATTGACAACAAAAAGGGGCACCTATGAGATTTTAATAGAGGATTTTATCAGATGTGTGAGAAGGGGCACTTGTGAGAAAGGGGAAGTGCATTGCTCTTATTAATGAAGAAAAGAGGCATTTATCTGAAGAAGAGAAGGCCACTTATTAGAAAGACAAGGGGCACGTGTCAAAATAAAAAAGGCACTTATATGAGAGGCGATAGGGAGCACTCATCAAAGATTAAAAGGGGCACTTATTAAAAGGGGAAGGGGAACTTTTTAAAGTAAAATGGACACATCTTAGATTTAGATAGGGGCAATCATCATCGATGAAAGGGACACTTATCAGAGGTAGTAAGAGGTACTTATAAGAATGTGGAACAGGCAACTATTAGAAATAAAAATGGGGCACCTTTCCTATGTAAAAACGGGCACTTTAGGGGTACTTGAAAAAGTGTGCCCCCTGCCCACCCCCCCCCCCCCCACCCGGCTCCGCCGCATCTGGTCTAACAAGGAGGGGGTGAGGTGAGGGTAGAACAAATTTACAGGGTGGGTGAAAAGAAATAGGGCTGCTGTAAAGTTTCACTTTCACATCTCTGTGCTCTTCTTTTCTGTTTCTTCATCACCACCCTTCCCCTTTTTGACATAAGCTGGGCAGTGGGGGGGGGGGGGGGGGGGGGGGGGTTGTCATACCGATTCCTCCATGCCCTCTTAGTGACGCCACAGACTATAAAAAGGATGTATGAATGAATCCCAGGGGAACGTACGGTTAAAACGTTCCCGAGGACAATGCATTAGTTAGATGATTAAGAATTCACTATATGAGAAACTGGTTTTAATTGTTGTGGCAGAAATTGTTCAGATTAAGTTATAAACATTTGAAACAAATTAAAATGGTATTACATGCAGGCCTTAATATCCAATACCGCGCCACAATAATGATACAAAACCTTGATACGGAATCACTATCCATTAGTCTTTGTTGTTAACATCGTAGGAGGATGAATAATTGATCATTCATTTAGAGACCCATTTTTGACTCATTATAAAGACCCAATATAGAATCGAATCAAGCTAAAAGGCATGATGAAACTCCCATAATAAAATATCAATTAGGATACCATTCAACCATGGCCTGCATTCAGTTCCAAAACCCGGGGAATTGATATAAAATCATGACTTCTCCACGGTAAAGAGAAAAATAGAAATAGTCAGAGGGCTCCATGTCATGTTGTTCAGAAAATTTGAGTAAATGGCATTTTTAAGCCCAACGCAATGGATTTGGCCTTGTATGTTTTTTTTTTGTGTGTATCCATGTTGAGCATAACATTTTACATTTGATAGGATCATAGCTACCCTCACGCGCGTTTTATAGTTTCCAATCAGTATTCATAAGAATGTATACTCACTGTTGATGAAGATAAAAAAACAGTCCAGATGTTACAATGAAATTAATCTTGTCGTCTGTTCACTTTTGACCCACCCTTTGTATACTCACAGTTGATGAAGATAAAAACAGTCCAGATGTTACAATGAAATTAATCTTGTCGTCTGTTCACTTTTGACCCACCCTTTGGGGGCGATTGCCAAAGCCCCCCCCCCCCTCCCCTCTTGGCATTTAGATGATAATTACCATTTCGCAAGTGCTTGATATTACGATCAACTATACCATCATCTTAACTGCCGATTCGCAAATATATCATAACATAGATCACTCTATAGCTAACTGTTACTTTGCTTTAGTAAATTTGTAATTAAAGAAAAAATGAGTTATGGCAACTTGTCTTCAAGCACCATTGAAAAATTCCACATCTAAATTAAATGTAATAAAATAACCAATGCATCTAACGCTATTACCATTTTTTACAGCTCTATCATGGACTTAAGGATATTAAGGATTTGGCCTATATAATAAATAAAACTCTCATTACCCTATATGATTCCTGCATATATGTTTGTTAACACAGTCATTAGCATAATAACTATTATGATTGTAATTGGGTTCATTCGTTTTCAGGTCATAAGTGATTAGCACTCAATCACATTTTCCTCCATGTTTATTTTGCAATTCTTTCCGCCCACATTATCACCTTTAAATTTAAGGGGAAAATACCACATGGGCTTTTTCTCATTGAATTCATTTTTTTATGCAACTAAATCAAATGACATTCCAGCGGTAAAACATAATAATATGACAATTTTTTTGAACGTGTACCCAAGGTTAACGATAGAAATGTTGACATTAAAACAGAATGTAATCGATAACTATTAATTAATTATTAATTAAGAAATCTGCAGAAGAAGGGCCATCACAGTAGGCGCTTGCTTGATAGCGCGATAGTCCAGGTTGGGGAGTGAATGGTAGCAAAAATAGAACAATTGTGATGGGGGTGATGATGATGGTGATGATGTTGATGATAATGATGATGATGAAAATGAAAATGAAAATATGTACATGTAGATGCAAATATGTCCGACACAGAAAACTCATACAAGTATACCAGAGACGGTTATAAAACTTTGTGATGAATGTTTATAGAAATCTGGAAGTAATATTGAATATATAAAGTCAGCAGTGGTAAAAGAATAAACAATATACTCTGACAGAAATGCTTTGCTCGTATTGAATTTAAATGAATTCAGGGTTTTACATGAGTTTATTGAGTCTGGGAGCCTGGATCTAGACCACGATGACTTACGCAGGATCAAATAATTTAGGATGTATCGAATGAACGTTTGAATAATTCCGAGTAGAGTAAAAATGGAATGCCGGAATGATAAATAATCTCTAAACCTTGAGAGACCAACTCCTCGAATTCCATAAATTTGAAGCTTTTTATAAAGCACAATAATAGTGATTTAGCGTATCAAATGCTTTTGATAAATCCCTAAAAACTCCCATTACATTGCTTTTAACGGCCTTTGCATCTGATATTTTATCATACATTTTAACCAAAGCTAGGTCAGTGGATATGATTTTCTGAAACCCTATAGATTGAAATTAAATATTTCATGGTTATTCAAAAATTTATATTAACTATTATTAAAAAAATTCTTGAGAACTTTGGATATGCTTAGGTAGAAGGAGATAATTGCTTATTTCAAGGGGATTATCTTGTTTATATACCGGATTTACCTTATCAATTTTGAAAGAATAAGGACAATCACCAGATGATAAAGAAATATAAAAATGTGAGTTAGAGGAGAAACAATTACATATATCATCCGTTTATTAAAGTAGCGATGTACTTATTATGTCGTGACCTTGTGCTTTAAAGTAGATTCTGAAACAAAATGCTGGATTTAGTTCATGCTGTAATCATAATTATAAACCTTGAGGTCAGTCAGAACTCCCATGGCTTTTAAAAGTCGATCGCCTGTCTGATTATCAAGATATTTATGATTGGAAATCGAAATTTCAAAATTCGTTTTCCTAACGGCTATTATTACACTACAGTCTATTGGGGGAAATGAGTATGGTAAAACCGGTCACTCAAAGATTTTTACGTTTTGAGGCACTTCATGATAATTTTGATGCACAATTTTGTTAAGGCTTCAATACCACACCATATTACAGACACTTATAACACGTAGAGCCATGCATATCAGATTTAACACTGTTAAACGATGCCTTTAAGGGGCTGAGTACTTATTTTGTCGTGACCTTGTGCTTTTTTTCTAAATGGGCACTAGCAATGTCATAGATAAGAATAAGAGCAATAACATTGTACTTTGAAGGCATTTGCGGTCTGAAAACAGAACTCAACTATCCCTTTAAAATGAGTCCTGTATATCTCCATCATTTGACTTCGTACGTTTATTGTGTAAAGGTATGCCATTTTGTGCCGAGCCATCCTCGCCCAATAAATGCTAGCCTATTAATATATATATATATATCATGATCCAGAATGCTATGCATTGCACAGAATACATGAACATATATATATATATATATAGAGAGAGAGAGAGAGAGAGAGAGAGCTCTTTTATAGATTAGTTATGAGTCTACCTGTGCTGAAGTACATTGTACTATTCATGAATAACATGGATTTTATTGAAAATATACTTAGAAGTGGAATTGAAAACTATTGTCGTGTACATGTCGATTTTTTAAAGGGCATCTTCTAATTTTCGTTTACATTGGATAACTCAATATATAATGTAATTTCTCTTAAACCATGAAAATCATGAAAGATTTGTCACAATTTAATGAAGCAAAGTGATCAAAACTTTTGTTTACTTTTTTCAGGAAAACATGTTTTAAACTTTGAGAAATCGATATTTCAGAAATCTTATACAAAACTTTAGGAGAGGTAGTCCATTTATGACACTACAATATCATGAATAAAACTGACAATTATTGATGGTTCTCATAATGATGTAATTATTTTTAATTTGTAACATTTATTTGAGATTGAACTGGCCGTGTTCGTTCCTTTTTCCCCCTTTTTCGTTTTCTTTTATTTCTTCAATTCTTAGTTTTTACCTTATGGTATTTTTTCTCTCAACACTAGTTCTTCCTCTCTGACTCCTACCTTTTTTCTCTCCCTTCTTGATTCTCTCTCTCCCTCTCCCAATCTGATCGTCTATTAATCTATGTGCCTTTATACCATCTGATAATCCTAGCTATTTCGGTTTAAAATGTAAAAGAATATTAGTTGAATATTATTGCGTTACTAATTTTGTATGCAGTTATTATTTTGTGTAATACTTTTTACAATGTTCATTATAATCTTTTTTTATGTCAAAGATTTGTTTTAAAAAATCGTTCAATTCAGCCTTTGGGCTGCAATGTGATTTTTGAATAAATAAACCATTATATATAATTCAGGCACGTTGCAAACGGTTCAAACTTATTTTCCCCTGAGTGAATGTCTTCACTAAATTGAATACATTATTCATCCATTTTTAGTATAAACAATGTTATAAATATCAAGGAGGCAAAATGGATTTATTCGGACCTTCGTGTTACCAATGATATATCAGGAAAATATATTTTGAAATTTGAGAAATTTATATTTTTAGACATTTCAGTACACATTGAACAAAATTGTACTTAATGGATGGTTTTATAATGATGATGATGACATCAACATTTAACATACAATAACTTTAATAATCATATTGCACGTTTCGGTCTCCCTCCCTCTCTCCCCCCCCCCCCCCTATCTCTCTCCCTCTCTCTCTCTGTCTATTTATGCTTCGATTCTGGCAACCTACATAGTATGTAATTCATTCTTAAAATGAAGAGATTGTCTTCTCTAAAATTGAATGTTATAATTGGGAACATGAATAATAAGTATAATACATGTACATCAAACTTATATAACAATTACAATTTAAAAATGAGATACTCACCATAACATGAATAGACCAAGCAGTGTATTGATGGGACTACTCTGTACCGGTCGTTCTTCTATCTCTCCAAACCGTCCGTGTCTAGGACCCAGCATGAGGGTAGCTACCAGCCCTGTTACCCCTCCCAGTAGGTGCACTGGTCCCGCTCCCGAGATATCGACCACACCCATCGCATGAAGCCATCCGTTAGGTGCCCATATCCAGTGAGCTGGTAGTGCGTACACGAAGGTGTTGACGAAAGAAAAGACGATGTAGGCTTCGAGTTTTGTTCTCTCCGCCATCGCCCCGCTGACGATGGTGGTCGCCGTGGTCGCGAAGGAGGCATGAAAGAAGAAATGGGCAAAGAGATGACCCATTTCAGCATCCATCCTCTTGCTATCAACAAAGAAATCCCCAATGCCGATGAAGGCGTTGGATCCCTTGTCGACGCCGAAGCTCAACCCGTAACCGAACATCCAGAATGAGATTCCGCCGAACAGGACGTCGACGGCGTTCTTGACCATGATGTTGACTTCGTTCTTGAGAGTGACACTGCCTGACTCGAGGAGACCGAAGCCTGATTGCATGGTGAATATGAGGAAGGCACTTGTCAGAATCCATGTTGCATCATCCCACGTCGTTGCCCTGTACGCCGTCGGGCTCTCCGTGGTCGTCAAGTTTTCCTCTTCCCAAATCACTGTCGTCGTGTTCATCGTCGAACTTATCGTCGTCACTCGACCTCGATGCGATCAATGAATCTAAGCCACGTTGAATGGGTGTACGATGATTACCTAGGACGTAGTCCTCGAGTTGACTGCACTCGAGATGAAAACGAAAATGTGAAGAGATGGATTGTGTCGATGCCGAATAATTACGTGAGTGTACGACCCAACTTTTATGAATAGCCTTGCGAGGAGAAAGATGTACATTAATAATCGAATAACTCCCGCGCTATGAACGGATTCGCCGCTGAAACGACTAGATATTGTGTTGCACAGCCATTGTAATTCAATATATTTCAAACTCTGTGATTCTTTAATAGCAATCGTGAAAAACATGAAAAGGGGGAGTAGTTTTTCATGTAAAGCATCCTTTCACTTGCTTGAGACCCTTTTTTCTAACAATATGAATAGAGGAGCTGTGAAACATTATAATCAAGTATTAATTTTGGTTAACACTGGGCCTATCATATTATGTAATCGAGAAGAAAACTTCAATTCTATGGAAACATTCTTATTCACTATTTTAGCGGCATGCATTTCCAAAGTGTAAATATTTAAAGAGAAATATTACACATTAGAAAAAAATACATTCAAAATTGGAGAAGGATAATACATTGTGTTAGCCAAGGTAATTTATTTGGTGATCATAACATATTCTTCTTCTTCTTCATCTTATTCTTCTTCTTCTTCTACTTCTTCTTCTTCTTCTTCTTCTACTTCTTCTTCTTCTTCTTCTTCTTCTTCTACTTCTTCTTCTTCTTCTTCTTCTACTTCTACTTCTTCTTCTTCTTCTTCTTCTTCTTCTTCTTCTTCTTCTTCTGCTTCGTCTTCTTTAATTTTTCTTCTTGTTACTCTGCTTCTACTTCTTCTTCTTCTTCTTCTTTTAATTCTTTTTTCTTCCACTTCATCTTCTTCTTTTTCTTCCTTTTTTCTACTTCTTTTTCTTCTCCTTTTTCTACTCTTTTTTGCTTTTCCCTCTTGTTTTGAATAGAGATAAAAGAGATATAGTGGGAGAAGAGAGAGAGAGAGAGAGAGAGAGAGAGAGAGAGGGAGAGAGAGAGAGAAAGCAAAAGAGAAAGAGCGAGAAAGGAGCGTAATTAATTAAATGATATCAGTGAAAACATGGAAGCAACTATACGATAAACCCCTGAAAATCTGGGGCGAAGATAGAAATATGAATTATGGATTTCAGGCAAAATGGCTTACAATGAATTTGAAATATCTTAATATCCCAAAGGTACAAAGTACTATTTGTCATTCCAAAACTATACTAGAATATTTGCATTTCAGATTATACTTGTGCTAATAGCTTGTAAACAAATTTACTTATATCACTGAGCAAAAACTTCCTCCAGAATCGCCAGTTTTGTAATATCATTAAGACAAAATGAACAAAATAAGACGTTTAATCAGACCGGAATAAGTTTACGAGAATCTATAATAAATTAGAAATAGTCAGAACTCTTTTGAATTTAAATCGATTGTGCTTTTAGTCTAACTCCTATGTACTGACTTTCGTCGACCAATGTCGGAACTGAAGAATTAATTGTAATTTGAAAGTGCTTTTATGCAATTACAGCATCGAAAGGCATTTAAATCTAATTAGGAAATTCCTTTGATAAGCCCTAAAATTACTTGATATTTTTCTAAGACTAAACGCTAGTGCGTGATGTAAACAATAAAGGTGCCCTTCACGTACGTATACCCGCTCTGACCGGTGTCAAGAATTATGACCAAGGTGAGTTGAATGAAAAGAGCATAGGTATATCACACACCAGGAATTCGAGACATTTATACCTCAAATCTTAATTAGTTGATTTGCTAATTTCACTGGTAAAGCACGAACAGGACGAACAACACACCACGCCAAAGTTCAACGTGATCGTGGCATTTTTGTTCACTCTCTCTTCACATTTTTATTTGTTCGGAAAAAAACTTGAGTTTCGATGGGGCGTGCTCCTATGAATCATACTGGTTCAGGGGAAGATTTGATTACGCAACCTGGAATGATATTCGATTACCAAAGTATCTGAAGTTCTGATCCATTCACATGTTTTGAAATAATATAATTACGGAAACTTCACAGGGGGAACTGGACTCGATTGTGTAACTTGTTTGGTTTAGGTCGATTACTCATTGAACTATCAGGGGAGAAACCAAAATGTTCTTGTTTGCTTCTACGCATGCAGTACACAATGTTTTAAGTTATTGGCGTTGGATTGCAATATATTTTTAACTATCAGGAGAATGTTCTCTTTTCTTCCTATTCTCTACTTCTCTCTCTTGTTTAAACAAAACAAAACGCACCACTCTCTTTCTTCCTCTCTTCAATATCTAATATCACATTTTATTTGCTTACATTACTTACCTTTCCAGAAACTATTTACTGTGGTGCAACATTTTTCGTTGAGAACATTTAGTCCTTTATAAATACAATTTTATCAATGAAATCTAATTTTTGTATCTTTCACACTCAATTTTACATGGTTTCCTTTTAGTGTAATTTTTTTATGTAATTGTATTTGACTAACACTGTAAAAAAAAAATTGCGCAATTCAGTCTGTGACTGACTGCCAGTCACGTTTTAATAAACTTCGATTGAATTGAATTGAACTGAAGATAATTAATTTTAAAAATGTACCTCTTCTGGAAATATCAGTATTACACCGATAGCTGACATAAATTGTGAAGAATGAAAATGGAAATTGGAAAATCAATCTAATAAGGATGTCAGTGGTATGTCCATTATCGACAAGTGAATGAAAAACTTTGGCAGTACGGTAAGAGAGATAATTTTAGATAATTTTGAATGTTGGAATATCTGAATAATGCATGTTATGGAAGTTGGAAATGTCCTAAATTTTCATAAACTTTAATTTTCTTCGCTATAGATGACGGAATAGTTAGACGGTGCCAACTCAATAGAATAACTGATTACTCATAAAGTGTGTTACATGTACATAACAGATCTGCCTCGTTGACAATGGGCACTGATTTAATGCATTAGTTTTATCATATGATGATAAAATAATTAAAGTGACTACAAGGATTTTTAAAACTCAAGTAGGCCTATAATTATGATAGTGATAATCAGATAATGGATTTGCATTTCCTGAATGGTGTAATCACTATTTAAACAAACAAACCAACCAACAAACAACAAAACATGCCTATCAGATTATTAGTGCACATTTACGTCATGTTTTATGTACTGTAAATAGTTGTAACCATGTAAAGAAAAAAATCCACTTAATGTGGACAATAAAACAAATCAATCAATCAATCAATGTTTCTTTTATAATCATATTCGTAATGAATAAGAATATACCTACTCTGATCTAATTAGGTAGCTTCATTAGAATAAACAGTGCTCAATTTCTTCACGTGAGCTTAGCAACTCCAGCATCATAATCATCGATTACCAATTGAAACACCTTAACATAGCTCGGTAACATGGCCTTTGGTTTATAATTTCACAAACATTTCTCGCACATAATTTTCTTAAATACATCGTGTGCAAATCTTTTCCATGACCCCCATTATGATGTATCGCTTCATGAGCGTCAAGCAAAATTTGAAAGTTGGAGAGCTTGAACAACAGCCTTCTCGCAGCGTTCAACCAATTAGAGCTTGCTGCCATCTCTCGGCTATAGTCGAGGTATCATTATCATCAAAGAACGCTTATAGAATAAATAAACAAACCAACAAACAATCGCAAAAAACAAAAATCATATGAATAAATTCTGACTTTTTTTTTTAGAACAAGCAACGCGAGAATCAAATCATTACGGAGTGCTCTTTAGATTAGATACAAATGACAAGTTAGAATCCAGCTGTGATTAATTGATATCCGATTTCTTTCCTAACCTACATTCCATAATTTAGGAATTTAGAGAGCTATACTAGGAATTACGCAGTAGCACAGATTTAAAAAAGGCTAATTTTTTAAGTGATCGATTTTTCCCCGTTTGCCATAAATTATGTTGAGCAGTGGCTGATCGGGGGAGGGGTCATGCAGGCGCGTACACAGGGGGGGGGGGTTTGGGGGGTTAAACCCCCCGCCTTTGGTATTTTTGTGTGTAAACCCCCCTAACCCCCCCCCCTTTGTTTGTTTTTTTTTTTTTTTTAATTTATTTAAAAAAAAAAAAAAAATCCCATGGCTGACCTAAAAAAAGCTCACGTGACCCCCCCCCCCAACGGAGCAAAATGTCAATTTTTCAAATTTCGAGACCAAAAAAAAAAAGTCCTCTTAAACCCCCCCCCCCCCCCCCCCCCCCCCCCCCCCCCCCCCCCCCCCCCCACCCCCCCCCCCCCCCCCCCCCCCGCTTATTCAGCGGCTGGCTGAGTCGTTGCGAAATTTTCGGCCCGATTTATAAATGTTAAACCCCCTTGAAAAAATCCTGCGTACGCGCCTGGGGTCAGGAGTGGGGCAGGGGGAACGCGCCCTGGTGATCTGTTGTGATACGTGATAATAAAAAATCAATACACTGGGTGAAATCTGGAAGCATGAAGCTGTAATATTGACGGATATACATGTAACTTGATATCCCTCATGCAATGTTTGCCCTGTCCCATGCCTGCGTTTCTGGGTAGCTTACGTTGCAAATGTGTTGCTCTATATTATACTTGGTGTTTTAAATCACTGAATGAGTATCTATATGAATTTATAAGGATGCCAATGATAACGGATTTACATCTTTACCAATGAAAATGCGTAAAACTAATAAGGGAGTATTCACGCCATCTCGTGACTGTAAAGATACAGTTGTATAATCAAGAAAACTACGCAGAGGCACTGAGTTTCTATGTGATTAGGGCTGACTGGCTGCTCATAAAATATATATACACTCAATAGAGAAGAGGAGGTTGTAGTGAGTGAGAGGGAGAGAGAGCGGGAGGGAGGCATATATATAGAGAGAGAGAGAGAGAGAGAGAGAGAGAGAGAGAAAGAGAGAGAGGGAGAGAGAGGAAGCGATGAGGGAGAGAGACAAAGAGGGAGAGAGAGATAGGGAGAGAGAGAGAGGGGGGGGGGGGGACAGACAGGTAGACATAATTATATGACTGTATTTTACTCTTAGAATTAGTGACAGAAGTCAGGTATAAACATTAAATATAGTGAGAAATTTGGATAAGTATTACAAATCTAATTTCATTATATTTATTTATTTATTGATTATAGTTTTATTTCAACATATTATCCTGAAATGTGATAAATAATGCTTGATCTAGTTGTTTGATTCGTCTTGTAGAAGTTAACGTCGGTCTAGATCTCCGTATCGTGAAGGCTTTCAAAAGTAAAATCTATCATTATTCAAACACAGGCTCCAAGAAGTCATAAACAAAACGGGACAAATCCACATACACACTGAAAATTATTCCTAAGAGCAAGTTAGGGCGGGGCGACCTCCCCCCGCCCCCACTCCGTTCCACCCACTTTCTATGATGTCACCCAGCAATAATTGGAAGTTACACGTCAATAAGTCGTCCTTCTGACACTATACAAGAAGGTCATAATTACTTCGCTTATGTAAGCATATCAAAATGAGAGTGAGCGCACGTTTTCAGAGCTCGCATCCAATTTGTGTTTCAACATTGGTAATCTAGTATAAGATGAACGAGGGTTGAAATTTGATCTGCCGTGCAACCCCAAGAAGCTAATTGTATGTTGCTAATGTGATTTATCATTAAGATATGTGTGCTTACACGAAGTCTAATGAGCTTGCTGTCAACCTTTGATTTTCTTGACCAGTATCTAGCGATTAATTAATCTTGAACTCGCTACTTTCTAGTTTGAAATCGGTCACAATTTCCCTGAGTAACTCTTAAAACGCTTCACTCAGATATATTATTTCATTATCGCACTATATATGGGATATCGCATCAGCTCGTCATTCCAATACGCAAGACGTGTAATAATCGCATAAATACGCCTACGCCTACAAAATACATTTATTATCGCATTTGACTGAGAGGAAAATGGAGAATTTCACTTTAATGCCCGACCAGGGCAATTATACGAATCAATCTTGTGATGGATACAAGAATGCTACCGGTTGCTACGGGAACTTGACGGGGGATGCACCCCGGTCGGATCCTGGGACCAGCTGGGATGATGCTACATGGATTCTCACCAGTGCCTTCGTTATCTTTACCATGCAGTCTGGTGAGTGAGGCATAAGTTTCAACAATCTTCTTGTTTGCATGTTTTCTGGGTTGTTGTATTCCTGTCAATCATGCATAATGAAAAGATGTTTCTTCGAACAAGCGTACAACAGACTGACAATCATGCTTTAATATGTTGCCCTCGAGTGGTAGGCCTACCCTGTAACTAGAATAAATGTTGTCCGATCAATATAAAGCAGGTCAGAAGATACAATCTGCACATCGGCAGAAAAATTTATTTTGTATCGAATTCGTACATTCCACGGGATTGAAAACTGGATAAGTTATCATGAAAGTTATGAAATTATTATTTATTCATGCATCAACTGTGTAATTCATGCTACACAGGATGAAGTCAGTAAACAAAAATGTAATAGCGGTCTCCTGCGTTTTTCACTTTTGAAATGATTTGTCATTTATATGTTTTTCGAAAGGTAAAGTTATTTACTTGATTTATGTAATGAAATGATTATATATATGCATGTATTTCACATTATGTTGATAATAATTATATATGTACCTAGTTTGAACATTATTTTTTAATTATTTTTAAAAAATGCAGAAATGAAAGCAAACAAACCAGTAAAACATATATATGAAGCATTTCCGTCTCTTCGAGAGTGATTTTCTAAATGCGCAAAGTGGCACATCACTATGTTTAGAAGACCTGTTATATCTAGGACCATTTTGTACCAAGCAATATCTACTAACTGGTCTATACAAGCATTTATTTCAATGTGGAACTAAACTTGAACTTGAACTTAAAATGCATTGTACCGGTCAAATATCAATTGGGATTAGGAATCCGATTTTAAATACATTATTCCTAACAGTTGACTTGAGAAGAAGGTCGTGAGTACAAGCTGCAGCACGGCGCTTATTTCATTTAGCAAGACATTTATTATATTAACATGATCGAAGAGAGAGAGAGAGAGAGAGAGAGAAAGAGAGAAAGCGGGGCCGGGTGGATGGATGGTGGGGAAGATATATATAGATTTTACACGTACATATAAAAAGAGAGTAAGGAAGGATTATTAAGGATTAACGATGTACAAATGATGATGAACGTATGTAGATAAAAGTACTGTAAGGGGGCTGATAAAAATAGGCTAATACAAGTATCCCCCAATATTAATGATTAAAACAGCAAAATACAACAAACAAGACGACATGTATGTTACATATAGACCAGACATATTCCTGTATGAGACCTGCGTGCATGGAAATTATCATACACAGAACGATAATTTTAAACTAAATTTTTTTTTTACCATGTTGCTTAGACACACGATGTCACTATTGATACTATTAAGCCGTTGGCTTTGGTCTTGTTTGGGTCTAATATGTATCGTTATAAGATGATGACGTGGATCCTCATCAAATGATTGGTCGAAAGCGTACACGTGACCAGGCATTTAGTTTGGATAACGCGTAAATTTCATATAATGAACGGTCATTATCCAATTCTAATGACCGGTTATTAGTAAAATCATGTTATAAAACATCATTTTATGAAACAAATAAAATATAATCTTATAAAATAATTAATACGCATCACTTTGTTCGGGCATTAGTAAAGCTACCCACACTCGGTACCTTCAAAACAGTCCAAACACCCTCGGCTACCGCCTCGGGCGTGTTAGACTGTTCCAAAGGTACCCTGTGTGGGTAATTCTTACTAATGCCCTCACTGCAGTGTATTATTTGTATATTAATATAAGAAGATAAAAAGGGTGTTTCTTACATTTGATTAAATTAATTGCATGTGACCAGTTACAAGTTTCCAATGATGTACATGAGATAAAATACAAATATCTGTACAAATTGAAATGTCAACAACTAGACCTGTGGATGGATGCAAACGAGATCAGGGACCCGTTTCACACAGCCTTTTTTGAATGACAAATGACAAATATCAGTGACAAATCTGCTGATAACCAATCAGAAGCAAGGATTTCACTGTCATTTGTCACTGATGAAAAGATTTGTGAAACACCCCCGTGTATTTTGTAGTATATATATATATATATATATTTATATATATAACGTCATTGGAGAGTTATAATTAATCATGCCATTTCCAGTTGTTTAAAACAAAACTAATGTATAATATGAATGCATGTTTGTTTTACCAAAATATAAATGAAAAGTAACAAGGATTTATTGTACGTATTATTTACATCATACAGGTAATTGCACCAAAGTGATGCCTATGTGATGTTTTAATAAAACAATTGGGATTTGGGTATTAATTTGGTATTTCCAGATCAAAATAACATCCCTAACATAATAAATCATGCCTCACATATTACAAAACGCACACAGAGTCACACTCAATCAGGCACACACACACCCGCATACACACACATACAGGTAAAACGTGCCAAATAGCCGGGGATATTTATATCTTTAACTATGAAATTGGGGATATTGGAATTTGAGATTTAGTTTGTACATGTACGGTGTTTCTTACTATTTTTCTCACTATTTATTCTTTCTTCTTCCTGTATATCATTCATTTCTTCTATATATTGTATGTATTGGTACCTGCAACCCACTACTACTCACCCCACACATAGATTTGCATGTAATATTTATATATGGTTTTGTATGTATTTATTGTTTTATTGTTGTTTTTTTTTAATTGTATTTTGATATTGTAATTTTTAAGCAGGGGATGATCCCGATAAATCTGTGTGGTTTTTGATCATCCTCTCTGTAGGTTCATCTTTTGTTGTAATGCTTTTATATTTTATTGTAATTTATATTGTCTTTTATGAATCTGGAAATAAATGAAATTGAAATTGAATTAAATTGAGGTTTTTTTTACAAAGATTCCTTTTCTTTGATGCCTGTGACAATTACATTTTGTCAAAGAATAACAAGAATTTAGCCTCCTGTTTTTATGTAAGAGTTTACTAGGCGCTGTTCATTTATCAGAATTTAAAAGTCTCAGATGATACACGAAGTAGCTCTCGAAAATATGGCGTCTTACTATGAAAATGTGAATGTCTTGGAACCCTTCCAGGAATATGGGTAGTAGACTCCTCTCGTGTCACTTTTATCAAATTTAGCAAAAATTAAGAAAGTTTTCAACTGGGGATATCCACAGTTGCCAGTGTATCCCCACTTGAAAGTTATGTATACATAATATGATTATCCCCATTTCACACGTCTTACAAACCCACACACACACACACACACTTCCGCGTACTCGCCCACTCAGATAAATGAAAAATACACGCAGCCACGTAATGAACATTTCTGTAAAATCGCAAATTTTCCTTTTAATATCGAAATGGAATTTAAATCAAATGATGATGCCTTAATGAGAGTTTGGTGCATGAACATCACAGATGAATATTTCTCCCAAAGGACTCTGTCAGACAGCATCTAAATGTGTTATGTGCGCGCGCGCGCGTGTGTGTGTTCCCTTTGTGCGTGTGTTTGTGTCCGTGTGACTTTCTCTCACTGTAATACTGTCATCCAAGCGTGAATACATACCACACACAGATGATACCAAACGATTCGGGATATATAACACTCTGTCAAAACATGTACAGGTATGATAACCTTCAGTTTATAGCTGACTTTTAAAAAAAAAAGACAATTTTCTGAGTGTAAACTTTTTTTTGGACTCACACGGTAGTTAAAAAGGGGAGGTTTAGATAAACGTTGACATATATGTCGTTCAGGTTATATATTATACAGGGTAGTATGAAAGTAGAAATAACAGAAATTGAATTTTCTTGGTTCATAGCACATCTATCATGATTACAAAGGAACATTATATGAACAATTTCTGCAGAGTATACTTCACAATTTAGCTTTATAAAGTTAAAATGATAAGTGTACATATACATATACTATACAGGATATGATATATATATATATATATATACATGTATATATGTGTAATCCATCATTCCGCTATACACAGAACTTATGTTTAACCCTTTGATTACTGGTTCAGAGTGGTTCATGTGTTGAGTCTATGTGAGTCGGAAAATCCAGTAGTCACGGGTTAACTCTTTTGACACCTCTTCAACTGCGAACTCCTAAAGCTTTTCATACACACTACCGTACACATGTCCATGAATACAAATATGTGTGGAAGCAAACGACTCCATTTATTCAAGGAGCTCTGTTCATTTATTTTAAGAAAAGTCTTAAAAAGAGCCTGTATTTATCGAGATGTTTAGCAAATTAGACTACAGAAATTAATGAAAATACGTATACAATCATGTTTTACATCTGTAGACATTCATGGTATAGGTATCACTTCGTATTGACTGAGTAATTTTGATAAATCCGTAAGATATGATGTAATCTGAAGCTCCAATCTTCAGAGATCATTGTTTCCATGGGTACATCCCTCTCAAAATAAAATCAAATAAAAAATGACAGATTAATGGAATGATTTTTAAGTACTGCTATATTATTCTTCTACACTTAAATGTTATCATTGTATGATATCTTGATCAATTCTTAAACTGGAAGCATTATCTAAAAGTCGAATTAATAGGAATGATCTTGATTCACGATAACAATTTTACACAATTTATCATCAAAATAATCCTTTACATTGTCATTGATGGTACCAATAAATATAAATGTAGGTAATGCACAGTGTATATGCAAAGTCAAAGAGGTCAAAAATGGATTTCATTATATCGACTTTTGGATAATATGAGCAGGTGATAGGGGGAGAAACCCATAATTAAATGAACATCTCAAAGATAATGTAATTCATAGATTCGTAATTTTACGTGAGGAGAATAGCGGTGAGCAGATATTTCTAACCGGAAAGAGAACCGACACCAATGTTATTCTCTTATAGCTGATCTTTCAGAGCTAATTAAAGAAAAGTGGTCATGGAACTTAAAACTAGACCAGCTGCATCAAGGTAATATGCGTTTAAAAAAAACACACACAATGCGTTACAACGTACCTGTACCTTGATTTGATTAGTTACCAACAGTAATACATACATGTCATACAATGATTTTACATAATTATACAATAAAAGAAACTATTGGTTGGTAAAAGGGGCGGGATAATAGCATATATGCTAGTCGAGCCTAACCCCTTAAACAGCTAAATAAATTTAAAGGTACTATGTCCCATTTGAGGCCAAACAAAATGAAAAGGTTAAATTCCATCGGCATCTAAAAGAAAATATTAATTTAGAACTTCCCTCAAACCGAAAAAGGGAAAATAAAGACCGTTAGTTGTCAAATCGACTTTAGGGATTGCAATCCTTTTTAGTTGATAGTCTGATTTTCATACCCTTGTACCGAATGTACGTTTTGTGCTGCGCAAAGATTCAATCAGTTTAATTTTGGCCATTACAAGAAGTGGGTTATTGATTTAGACAAATTTAATGCTCATGCTCCCTTTACAGCCCATTTTATGTATTTTATTTACAAAGTCAGTCAGTCACTCAATAGCGTCTGACAGTGAAGTCTAGAAAGTAAACGGGTTTCCTTGTATAATTTGAATACTAGGACACTATTAATGTTTACAATTCACAGATTCCTGTACAGTTCTACAGAAATTTATGTTGGCTGCAAATGGGACATAATAGTACCTTTAGACGTCATAAAGAAAGCGACCCAGTTCAGCTCCCTTCAGTTATTGTGGTTAGTACAAAGGCTTAAATCTATGTCAACCTACACTATGAATATGACTGACAAAGAAAGCGGACAAAATATACAGTTCCTCAGGTAGACAAAGGAACATCTCTTCACTGCTATTATGTAAAAATGTGTAGAACAGGTGTCACATGCATATTCACCTGTTCTACACATTTGTACATAATAGCAGTGAAGGGATGTTCCTTTGTTTACCTGAGGAACTGTATATTTTGTTCGCTTTCTTTGTCAAATTCATAGTGCTACTACATGTGCTCCCTCGTACTTGAACTTTACTACCAATAAAAACAACAACAATCAAACAACAATTGTATAAATTGATATGACACTATGCACGGGGTCTAAACATAGGGGGGGGGGAGGGGAACATAAATATGTTAGTCTGATGCCTCAATTTATACATGTTCATTGTGGAAAACATTTACCAAATTCACTTCCTCGTTGAGGTTGTAGGCCAGCAAATACACACCGTTCTCAATCTTACAAATTGATATGGCACTGTGCAATGGGTCTGTACATAAGAAAAAGTGGACCCTAGATATATTACTCTGACGATGCCTAAGTTTATACATGTTGATTGTGGAAAAATTTAACAATTCACTTCCTCGTTGAGGATGTAGGCCAGCAAGTACACGTCGTTCTCAAGACGTTTCCATAAAACGTTTAGAGAATTTATTTGGGCCCCAAGAATATGAATGTCGACCTATATGCATGTGTTCTGTTGTACTCGAACTTTACTACTAATAAAAAAATAAAATCATCGAACAACGGTTGTACAAATTGATATGATACTATTGCAAGGGGTCTGTACATAGGGAAAAAGGGGACCACTACATAATCTTAGTCTGATGCCTAAGTTAATACCTGTACATTGTGGAAAACATTTACCAAATCCACTTCCTCGTTGAGGATGTAGACCAGCAAGTACACATCGTTCTCTAGACGTTTGCATAAACCGTTTTAGAGAATTTATTAAGGCCCCAAGAATGCTTCACGTCCCGGAATGGTAGGGGGGAATTGGGTATTAAAGGGCGATCCAACCCCTGTAATAAGCAGAATGACGAAAGTTTGAAATGAATCGGACCAATAATAAGAAAGTTAAGAATGTTTGAAATATGAGTTCACTCTTAAGTTTAAGCGAATCTCAAATTGCCAGTTTTGTCAGTGGATTGTGATGTAGCCGTGGATAATTCTCCCGTCGACGTGTATACAACCACATTAATTTATGTTTTCTTCCTAAATGCCTTATCCCTTATGGCACTACTCAATATCTATTATGGAAAGCAGGTTGTTATAGATTATTTAAAGAGAATAGACCCTCCTGAATCATACTTTTTTTTTAAAATTATTTTTAAAAGTAATTATGTGTGTTGGAATGAATATGGAAAGTTGTCTGCCAATACACCACAGAGACATTGCCTATTCAGTATATTTGAAGAGCCCATACAACCTTGCAAACAAATACTAACTTTCTTATTTTTGTTTTGGTCTGATTTCATTAATATCTCTCTGATTTATTGGCTTTCTTCTAGAGTACGTTGCTATCAAGGTTGGAATTCCTTAGAAAGCACCCGTAACAGCAGTTCGTCAGCTAATTAGGCTACTTCTATGAAGTATAGCTCATTCTGCCGTGCAAATGCTAGCAAACTAGGTGTTAAGCAAACAAGAGAGCATATTGACATATTCCCAACAGTATGAGACAGCGGAATGTCCGTAGGTGCCATGAGTTTGTCCAGTGTTCTATCCCGAAGATTGTACATGGAGAGTGACAGACAATGCGACCTGAGTCTCACACTTGCAATGAATACTCTATCCAAGGAATCCACTGCAGCGTAAAGGTGTTCATGGCTGTGATTGGCTGTGATGGACGTGATCACGTGGCCACTGGTATCGAGGAGTGTAACGGCGCCAGGTTTGCTACCCCGGGTGGTGACGACCATAGCCCCACTCTTCATCACACATATCTGTTCTGGCTTGATGTCTCCTGTAGGTATCACTGATTCATCTGGATCCGGGTCCTTGGCACGGAAGATGTAGATCTCTGGATTGCCATTGACAGCGTACAGATTGTCATCCTTGTCACTGCAAATGCGAAGAAAGTAAGGGCCATTCTTGCATGTGTAGTGAACACCTGTGGGAGAGCCATCAGGATTGAAGAGCCGTAGCGTATGACTTTGTTGGGACACAACTGATCTACCATCAGTGAGTGTAGCAATGTCACAGACCTCACCTACCGTAGTTGGCAGATGTTGTTCTGACTTACCAGACACACAGACACACTCAGAACCGTCTTTGTTTGATCCGTACCCTACCAGGACTTTGTCTTCGGATATGGCTGTCATACCCTGAACAGACCTAGAGAGAGATATCACCCGTATGACAGTCAAGGTGAAGGAACTGTTACCAGTGGTATCCGGTGAATCCGAACGTCGCAAGAGTCTTTCCTCTTGCCGTAATCGTACCGTACCAAGTGCTGGGACTCCCTTGCTGGCGGGAATAAATTGCAAACGCTTTACGGTCTCCTCAAATGCTTCCGTAGTGTCCTGGAGCCTAGCTTCTTGCGTGAGCAGTTCTTCCAAATCACTTGACAGCACATTACAAATGGTAATCGTGGAGCCGTCTTTGAGCATTTTAGAAAGGTTCTCAAGTTCTGAAAAGCGTTCATCGATCTCTTTAATCGCTTGAGCATGCTTGGCAACATCACTGTCTAGCTTTCTGTTCTGAAATTCTTGAAGCGACTTTGCTCTTTTCAAGAGACGTGTCCTCTTTTCTCGTGGTACAAAGGCAGCTTTCTTGTCAAATGCGTCACTTATTTCCTTTTGAACTACTCTGGCAGATGAATCTAGTTCCAATCGATGTTCTTCACAAATGTTTATTTCTTTGACGATGGTTGCCTTCCTTTCTTCACATTGTGCAGAGAGATGGTGAACCCGCTTCTTGACATCCTTCACAATGTCTTCTTTCTTACTTATTTCATGGTTATGGTGTTCGTCATTCCTACGGCACATTGAACATAAGGTTATATTACAGCAATTGCAATATAAATGTTCATCCTCCTCGTGTATTAAACATAGTTTGGTGACTTGTTTGATAAGCAATGCTTGAGCTTGTCTATATTTAAGCTCGTCTACAAGTCCTGCGACCGACACATTTCGCGGCAGACCCTGAATCCGTGTCTTAGCAAGGCGAGTTGACGTCTTACAAAGGGGACACTCTATATAGTTAAAGGCTCTACACGTCTGGTAATACTCCTCCAAACATTTTCTGCAGAATGTGTGTCCACAACCCACCAACAGAGTTGGATCATCAAAGATGTCTATACAAATGGAACAATTCAGATCCTCAAATGTATTCCCTCCTTGCTTTTCAGCCATTGTTCTTCAAAATGCGAATCACGGCTATATAATTAGAGCTCAACTTAAGTTCCTATTTGTAGTTCGACGATGATCTGCAGAAAGTCTTGGATTTTCTGTTCATGCCCTGCCTCGGGAGAGGAACTAAACGATGCAAAGTCCTTTTGAAGAGACAGGGTCGTGACGAGGATGGACGAACTGTCTGACTGCATGGACAATTGAACATTTTCTGGTCGGTTCCCACTTGACAGAACTCTGTTACTGCTGTGGTCCTGAATCATGTCGATCTGGAAGGATTCACCCTTAAGGTACCTGGTGCGGGTGCTGTGTAGTGATCAAAGATGGCCTTCAAGTCCTTAGCTTTAAACGCTGATATACCACTAGATACTGTAGAGTCAGTATATAGTCACAGTGTGAAGTTAGTATTAAGGTATCATCTTATCACCCTCGCATGGTAATGCTCTGTGAACTTGAGGAATTCCACACTGTCATTGAATGTACGTCACGAGAAAAAATGTGAACATCGTTCAAAGTCTACATATGGGGGTGTGCAATTATGACTTCTGCTGTGTATGACAGTTAAAGTATGTAAGTCATAAAGGCCCACACATCGATTGATGTTATAACAAAAAGAAGGACCTGTTCCACCAGTTACGATCAAAGTTCAGAAGAGAAAAAGGAATAGCAAATGGGATTTACATTATCACGATCATCTTAAAATGACAAGATGTGGGATATTCCCTTTTTATATCTCGAAATAACCTTACCACATAGTGCTTTAAAACACACAACTTTGATAAAAGGTTTGATAACTTCAGGACCTATAATAGCTTTTGGTTATACCATGTACATAACCTTTAAGCTTATTAAAATGTGCATAGATAACATAATAAACTTTGATATGTAAATATTGACAGGTGAAACAAGAAAAAAGACAGAGATACATGCAGGGTAATTAAAAACAAGAGGGTATTAGAGAAAAGTGGGCTAGAAGTAAATTCAGCCAGAGTGAAATACAAGATTTACACAGGAAGCAACGAATACATTATTTTCCTGTCAGCATAGATTGTTTAGCACTATTATATATAATTGTTTAAGTATTCGCCTTTTGTTTTTTTAAACAGTATTCACGCTAATTTTTGTCTGCGCTCTCGTATTTCCGTCAACAATTACCCTCGAGTTGCTCAATTTGATAACACGACAGGTGCAAGTCTAATTCAGGAATGAGATATTATTTTGTTCGCTATTAACATTCCCACAGTTATTCTCCGCCAACGCTTGTAAACCCATGGCTCTTCTTTTTTTAACGTTCATTGATTATTAAGTTAATGCGTATACCATGCCCAAGGATCATAAAGAAGGGATTCTGATGTACGAAATTCAGATTGATTTGTATTAATATTTGAATCCAATCATGACGGATTCTTTTTGCGTTGTTAAATTGAGATGGATGCTCAGGGATAGGGGTTATTGTCCTATGTCCTAGGGGCAATGTCTTGGGCATAAATAGTTGTCGGGGGTAGTTGACAGAGGTTGATCTAGTGAAAATTGCCATAGGGGAAGTTGTTCGGTTGTTCGGTTGTTCGGTTGTTCGGTTTCTCGTTGTGGGGTATTGTCCAAAGGGGCGGTCGTGGGGGGGGGGGGGGGAGGTGAGTGGGGAGGAGGGGGTGGTGGTGTCCGGGTGTTGTCATGGGGAGTAATTGTCTAAATACGGGGTTCGATGGAGGATTATGGACATATTGGTGTATGATTATATTTTACTTTTTGCGGAGGGGGGGGGGGGGGGGGTGGGGGGCTAATATACAGTTTGTATCTAATAAATAATTTTCATCTGATGATTACGCTTTGATCTCACGTAAGACTGCCAAACCCCAAATCAAGTCATGTTCATATCTGCAACAAACATACATAAACAGAATGACAATATTGACAAAATATATGTACTTGTATAATGTATACACGAAAAAGGTATATTGATTACATGCATTCCGATAGATGCCCCCGCTGATCGGGGTTAATTGATGCAAGAATCCATCTATTTATTGGACGAAAGTCAACCATGGCAACCTTAATAGCAGCTCTTTTCAATCAGACAGATAATAGAGGACATAAAAATCAATCATAAAAATATTTCACCGCGGGAGATATTTACGAGCACGCCAGCTGACTGGTTTGATAGTTCTTTCCGTCTTGACACATTTCAGAAGGAGTAGTTTGTAACAGTTTTTAAAAGGTCAAATCATAAATTTGTGTTTTCATATCGATCAAGCATGCAGCTCGACTCAAAATGGAGTCGTTCTCAAGATGAGTATCCGTGTAAAATTATTAATTTCTTTGCACTTTAGGAATGTCATGCAGCTGTGCTATAATTAGATCTGATGGTATATGAAACATGTCGCTATATAGAACTTAGTAATAAAAGGTAACCATTTTTAAGGTGTTTATCTGTATGATTCTTCAAAAGTGTTGTTTCCCTTATTGAATTCCGATGCACAATAATGATAATAATAATAATAATTATAATATTTATAGCGATAATACTAATCCTAATAACGACTTGAGAAATAATAAAATCAAAACAATTATTTATAAAAATATTATAATGACAATAATTGTTTGTTTTTCTTCAATAATGACTACCGTTGTTGTTGTTGCTGTTAAAGGAAACCTAACCCCAAAGAATTTTTTTTAGCATGACATGGGCCCAGCCATTTTCTTGAAAACGTATCGTACTGATGTGAAGTCTGACAAACTGTACATTATGCTAAGAATATCTTGCTTCATACATTATGGTGGGGAATCTTGTACATTAATGGGCAAGAATGCCAGACATTTTTCAGAATAAATAAAGTTATTTCTTGGGGAGAGGTTGCCTATGAGAATGATGTTAGTTTGGGTTATTTGCGCTTTAATACAGCAAACTGATCAGAGCACTGTTACAATTATGAAATTGAATCTGCTTAATATATTCTTTTTATGTTTCCACTCCCAGTCTCAGCTTCATATTAAATATAATGAAATGACGTATAATAAGAATATCAATAATAGACTTGATGTCTCTAAGCGCTTACAGAAATAATATTGCAAATAATCACACAATCATATCACATATAGCAACAAATAAAGTGATTGTATCAGTTCCCCAAATCTACCCATTAAATATACCAATTTTTTAAATATGATTTACATTAATTTTTTAAGGGTGTCTTTTTCGTGTGTGTATGTGTGTGTGTGTGTGTGTGTGAGAGAGAGAGAGAGAGAGAGAGAGAGAGAGAGAGAGATAGAGAGAGAGAGGCAGAGGGAGCGAGGCAGGCTGAGTATTTCGTTTGAGTGAAGGTCAAGGCAATGTGTGAGTGAGATAGGTTAGACATCTAATTGACAACGCTATTCACATGTATTGTCGTTTTGATCGCCAGGACAAAGTGATCCTTACCTTGAAATGGAACAAGAAGACACAACGAGCTGATTAAATTCAAGTCCTGTTCGAATAAAGCTTTTAATTTAATCGACAGGTAACAATGCCCAATGACATGCCTAAGTATACAGCCCAAGAATTCAAGGCTATAATCAAGGAGTGTAATAACTCCTTTGTAGAAAGGAGTATGAAAGGACGGAAATATATTTTCTCTCGGTATTACTCTATGTAGATACTTTCTCTACCGTTTTTTTTAATTTGTTATTTAATCTTAGTTTCATGGTTCTATTCAGTCGTGGCAATTAGAGACAGACCCAGAGATCCTTGAAAAAAAATGCAAGCGGTGGAAGTGAAAGTGACAGAAGCGAGTAGGTTTACTCTCAAAGTTGCCATATCCTTTAATCAAGGACACCTACCGCATTGCCGAAGCTTTGGAGACGGTAGGCATGTGTCTTGATGCAAACTAGTACACCAATACAATACCTAAGTTCAGCCAGGAACTGCTGTTGCGTTATACAAAACAATTTCCTGAGATATGTTTTCTTCATAAATTTATCTGTGAAAGAACAAAAAAAGTGTCGGAAAGTTTCAAGCAATATTTAATTTTATGGCACCAGAAACAATGGGGACCTTTCCTCGGTTCCTATACATTTTGTCTACGTCAAACGTGAGACTTTAGTCACCATCTAATTGCATTTTTATCATACTTAAACAATTCTTAACCTCTATATCATTATTGAGTATTTCTTTATATGATATTCATATTCATTGTATGCATTTGATCGCTATCGTGGTTTTGTGATACTATGAGAAATCCAAAAAGGACATTGCCATTGTGTGTTCTTCTAAATGTCAACGACCATATTAATCATGATGAGAACATTCATGCACAAATTTATTCAGAATGAACAAGAGAGACACTGGCGCATGACGAGTAACACCATGAATGACTGTCATGAGAATGAATGAATAAAGTTCTAATCGAAATATATCAAAGGGACTTGGCAACATTGTTCAGATGAGAGAAAATGGTGCTAAGTAGTGACTTCAATGCTAGATGTACAATTAAAGATAACCTGAAAGTTTGAGTAAAAACTGACTATTTAATGATACAAATTCGATAAAACTGATCTGAACGATTCCTTAATTCTCCCAACTATATTATCATTATTTAATCAAAATTTAGGTGAATGTTAATCGTCAGAAAGCAATGAATTGGCTCTATATACCATTCCATACATTCGGCGTTGAAAAGTTTTTAAAAGCCTGTTTTTATGTCTTATTTTCATGGAAAACGATTTGGAAAATTCAAAAATGGTTGTGAGAATTTACTGTTAAAGGGTGTCGCCCAGTGACGCCTTCAAATGAAACCATAAATATCTTTGTGGTTTGTGAATTTTTAAGGATTTTTTTTGCATGTTAGAGGGTGAGTACAGTAGAGGAAATATAATACCTTTCATACAAAAATTACGCAGTTTCTTCATCAACCTTACCGAATCATCTGACTGTGCATTTCTTTTTTTCAAGAAAAAGAGATCTTGCTTTCCGTGACATTTCGATTTAGCGGATATGCTTCCCATTAGCAATTTATTGGTTTCGCAATGCGGTTTCACTCTCCTATGCAGTGGCGTACGCAGGATTTTTTCAAGGGGGGGGGGGGGGGTTTAAAATCGGGCCCAAAATTTCGCAACGACTCAGGAAAATTTGAAAATCGGGGGGGGGGGGGGGGGTAAGCGGACACTTTTTTTTTTTGGGGGGGGGGGGGGGTCTCTGGTCTCGAAATTTGAAAATTTGACATTTCGTTCCGTTGGGGAGGGGGGTAAGGTCACCTTTTTTAGGTCAGCCATTGGCATAATTTTTTTTTTTTTTTTTTTTTTTCAAAAAAAAAAAAAAATCAAAAGGGGGGGGGGGGGGGGTTCACAAAAATCATACACAAAACATACACATAAAAAAAAATCAAGGGGATGTGGCCAACCCCCCCCCCCCTGCGTCCGCGCCTGCTCCTATGGGTGCAGCTGATATATGAAGTAGGCTGTGTTAATTTATGTTCTTCACTTTAAGTTGAGTTCTGGTCATCCTATTGCATTGCGAAGAAGAACAAAAACGGTGTGGAATCGATCAGAAAAGGTTGATCATCTAAGATATAAGTATTGGTGTGTACTGCAAGGTTCTGGAATCATCAAAATGTTACAAAATTTGGCCCAGTCTTGGTAAAGTTACAAGCACACAGAAAGATGTAAATGGGGATACATAAACATGGGGCATAAAAATCCGTCCCGATTTTCATGTTGTTACTTGCCATATTCAGAATATGAATGCATTTGAAGAGCGATGCTTTTCAGGGAACATTTTGTATCTCATGTTCTTCCACACTTGCATAATAGCAATGATAACGCTCACAAATTATTTGTCACCTCTTCCCAGAACTCAACCTTCTCTGTAATTAAAAGCAGAAGAAAATTCAGTAAACGGTTGGGTGAGAGATCGAGAAATGGGGATTAACATTAACAAATATGTTTATCTTTTGTAATTTAGTTTCAAAAGTTTCATGAAATGTAATGCTTGAAATTGATTATTTGTTTGTTTGTTTGATTGTTTTTCTGCGTTCAAATAACAAATACAAGGTTATACATTTTTACATAAGTATTACATACATATAGAAAATCATGTCTAATAATATATACAATAACCATAATACGTATGCACGTCATCTGAACTCTTTGCCTAATATCCTTTCCTCACTATTTATCATTGAACACGTTTTAACATTTCCATCCAAAATTACCGTTCAATTTTTATTAAAGATAATGTCTTACGTAAAACTGCAAGGTGAGAATCTTACATATTTTTAGCGATCTCAACATGTCTAATGTTTCAATGAAAGCCTTTTTTTTGTTTCTCTATTTTTGTGTCGCTTTTATCAGCTTTCACACGACCCAAGTCTTTCCAAAGGTTGGATAACCTTCAAGCATGTTTAAGCAGGAGCTTGCAAGGAAACCAAGTGAACTTATAGCTTTCGTAACATCGGAATTATTTTTTGTAATATGACTCGCCATCGACTTCAAAACGTGTTGAAAAAAAAAAGGTCCTTCGGATTGCCTTGAATCGTTGAAACGTTAAAGTATTTTGTCATCATACCTGTACATTATTCTCTCTGTCTCTCTGTCTCTGTGTGTGTGTGTGTCTCTCTCTCTCTCTCTCCCTCCTCCCTCCCTCTCTCTATCCCCCCTCTCTCTCTCTCTCCCCCTTGCGAAGGTTGCTCTGCCCGTCATCCGTATAGATTGACTAGCCGAGTATTAATGTTGGTAATTTAAATTTGCAAGAAAACGAAAACTTGTATTTCTTAATAATGAATTAAAAAAAATATAAAACAATCTCTCTATGAGTTGATTGGTAATTATCTCTCCCTCCATCTATCTATTATTCATCACTCATTCCAATGTCATGTACTAATACTCCAATGTACTTGAATAATACAACTGTTTCTTATCATTTATTTATGATTGTTCCTTCCGACCGAGCAGGGAATCAATGAAACACTTTCCTGAACAAAACATAGGCCTATCAAAATCCATTACTGTGTGCACTATTTATATATTTACTTATTTATCGATACGGGGTACGTTGCCCATTCAACATCAGTTGGTCTCCCATAGGGCCCCTAAAAACATACATACAAGAATGCAATATAATATGTAAAAATAAAAGCCTTCAAAATACAAATACAATAATGCCAAGTAAAAAGTTAAAATAGAGCATGTGAAAAACATTGAAATATATCAAGGTGAATGTTTGCGAATATAGAACATTAAATTATGTTAAAGTACAATAACGAGTATTAAACAGGAAATTATAATGATATTTAAAAAAATATGACACAGACTATTGGTGAGTATATAGGTGCCAATTAAGAATCCCTTTGTACATCCAATGATTTCACTATGCAAAGGTTGTCCTGCCCGTCTGCCGTATAGATTGACTATTATACCCGAGTGATAATGTTGGTAATTAATTTGTGCGTCTCCTGACAAGGAAAAGACAACTTGTTTTAATAACGAATTAAAAAAAATTCTCACCATGAATTGATTGGACTAGACGATGAAATCCGACCTTGTTAACGAATTCATTATTGTGATTAATCAGGTTCTGGCTGTTGGTGGTTGCGTGTTACTATGGATACTATATAAACACATCATCATCATCATGTATACGTATACCAAATATAGAAATATTTTGTTTGCAATTAATTATTCATATAGGGTTTTCGTCCTTGCACTTTAGTCTCATGATCCCATAAAGCTAAAATGATATTAAGTGATAAATTATGTTCTTCATTGTACATTTAAAAAAACACAAAACTTCACCTCAGTCTTCAATATCAAATTAACTTACATTTCAGGATTACTGAAGTTCCTCAATTAAAAATATGCGCATGCGAATTTTATCACATGTGACATTTTTCTTATGTAACGTTGGTATGGTATTCATTTAGGCATGTACAGAAAAAGCGAGCGAGTGAGTGAGTGATGGAGAGAGAGAGAGAGAGAGGGAGAGAGAGTGTGTGTGTGTGTGTGTGTGTGTGTGTGTGTGTGTGAAGGAAGTTGGGAGGAAGAGGAGGGTGGGGGGGGGGGAGGGAGGGTGATTGTTTTGGATCCACACGCAATGCGATAGATTTATTGCAATTAAACATTTATAAAGTATTTTTTTGAAATATTTCGGTAAATTCATGTTTTCATCGAACCGAAGAACTTACTTCAATAGAACAGACATTTCATTGTATCAATCAACCTCATCAAATAATGATAAACAATCGATTCAACACAAGATTCATTTCCCTTTTTATTTCTATCCAGGTTTTGGACTTCTCGAGTCAGGCATGGTGTCTCGTAAGAATGAAGTGAATATCATGGTGAAGAACGCAGTAGATGTTATCTTCGGAGGGTTGACCTATTGGATGTTCGGTTATGGCTTGAGCTTTGGTGACGACGAAGGAACCAACGCGTTCTGTGGTATGCATGGCAACGGTATTTTTGTTATCGTTTCGTGATGCGTAAATGATGTTCTGATTTGTTTAAAGATAACTGTCAATAAATCGATCAGTCAACCGTTTAAGCGCGGTGGGATGGCACTGAATCCCTTGCGACTGGTAACTTCTTCTCCTTTTTTGTTGAAATGTTGACTGTTCTCTGCTTTTTCCCCAGCATCTGCGTGTCTCTAAATGTTACTTTATTAGAAACGCATACCCAAAATAAATATCGATGTCTCTCAGTCTCTGTCTCTGACTGCCCCCTTCTGTCCTTCTCTCTCTCTCTCTCTCTCTACCCCCTCTCCATCTGTCCAACTCCTTCTTTTCTTCCCCTCTTTCTGTTTCCCTTTTCCTCTTCTCACACTCCATTTCTATTTCTTGTTCATTTGGATTTCTCTATTGTCTACTATTTGCATCCAATTTCGACCCCTCACTCTTTCAATGTCATCGTATATGAAACTTACAGCAATAACATAAGAAGGTAGATAATTAAAAGTAATGGTAACTGGAGTAAACATAATGGAAGAGACAACTGCCCTTGGACTATCAATAGCCAGAAGCCTGTCCCGAAATAATCACCCCATCTAAAGATTTGACCCACAAAATGAATGTAACAAGAAGAGGTTGTCAGCCTGATCGTACATGTATATAGCTGTCGGCCCTACCGAGTATCTAAAGCTGGCCAAAAACATGTACATCAAACTTGTTTTTTTTGAAGTTCTGTGACTGGACATTACAAAACAATAATAAAATGACAGAAATTTCTGGCGGGATGCGGGGTCAGAGGGGTTCGTTTCCAGTGGCGGATCCATGGGGGGGGGGGGGGGGGGGGGGCCCGGCCCCCCCCTTGAGAAAAAAATCATGTAAAATCACGTGATTTTTACCTTTTTTTTGGGTTGGGCCCTGGCGCTCAAGGGGGGGGGGTGCAAATCGGAATTTTTTTGAGGATAAAAAAAAAAAAAATGCTCACTATACCCCCCCCCCCCCCTGAGCGAATTTTTGGCCGGCGCGTTTTTCAATTTTTCGGGAGCAAAAAAAAAAAAAAAAAAAAAAAAAAAAAAAAAAAAAATTGTGCTGTACCCCCCCCCCCCCCCACTGAGCGACTTTTCGCCCGGGCGATTTTCAAATTTTCGGGAGCAAAAAAAAAAAAAGTTGGGCCCCCTCCCCTAAGAAATCCTGGATCCGCGCCTGTTCGTTTCTAAGGGGGTAGTTGTACGGGAAGGGGAGGGTGGGGGAGGCCTGCCTATATTATCATAGGGTGCTATTTAGGACACTGAAACTAGAACTATATAAAGTGTGCATGGGCATGAAGAGTTTTATTTATATAAAAAGAATGTTTTTTTTTAACTATATACATCCCCCCTCCCGAGATCACGTATTGTATCTTGGTAGCGAGGTCTAAGGTTATTGCTGTCTGTCCCTTAAAGACGCTTATATTGCTCCTGTAAAATCAGTGTCTACTAGTCCGAATTGCAGTTTAATTAAAAAAACGCATATGACGAGAAAATAAAAGAGAAAATCTAATGGAAATTGATGTTTGATAAACGATATATTAAAAATGAACGAGCTATAGCAGTTTTTAATTAAAACATAATGCTTGGCGTACTAGATTGAATTAAAACTTGATGGTAGTGTATTAAAGTGTGAGTTTGATTAGTGTTACGACATATGGCAGTTTCTATAAATAGACCCGAATAAAGGTGCCGAATTATTGTTTCATTTTGCGTCTACTCAATGATACCAAGTTTCCTATTGATAAAAGTTGTCGTTAATTCCATTGCTTTCTTGTTCTAAACGATTTTAATTGGCATTTTGTAACTAAAAACATGTTAGACAGCTCACTGTGATAAACCTTAATAACAAAAATGGAAAGTAATTGATTAAAGATTCACTTTATTCCATCTATCTTTCTTTTTATTTCTATCTCTCCCTTTCTCTCTTCCTCTCTCCTTTTGTTTCCTATAGCATTTTTTGCTCTCTCTTTCTCTTTCTATCCCTGTCTCTTAATTTTTCCATACCCCCCTCTGTCTGTCTGTCTGTCTGCCCCCCTCTGTCTGTCTCTGTCTGTCTCTCTCTCTTAGTCTCTCTCTCCCTCTCTCTCTCTCTCTCTCTCTCTCTCTCTCTCTCCCTCCCCCCCTCTCTCTCTCTCTCTCTCTCTCTCTCTCTCTTGTCCCCTCCCTCTCAATACTGCTGACCATGCACCTTTCTATCTATGTCTGTGTTGCTCTTTTTGTTTGATATATCAAATATTATCGTGATAATGAGGGTAGCTCGTGTTCTGTTTTCTCTCTTTAGGTGTTGGCCATTTCTTCACCGATTCCGGTGATGCAGACGAGCTTGGATGGATCTTTGCTCAGTTTGTATTCCAGGCTTCCTTTGCCACCACTGCTACTACCATTGTGTCTGGTAAGCCAAACAGCATTATCATTAGGGGCGTTCACACCTACAGAAAAAAGTTAGATTTAACAATCGATTTTTGCATTGTGATCCATTTTGCGGTAAGTCTTGCGATTTTTAAGAATAATCGCGATAGTTTGCCGGGCGCTGTGTGTGCAAATGGTATTGATAATCAAAAAATATTTATTTAATCAGGGAGGTGAAACAAGTTAATAACTCCTCGATTTAATCCCAGGATTCCAAGCGCGCATACATGTACATCGTCGAGATTCACGCATGCACAATTCGGACGCTCTTGCCGTCGGGCGAGAATTCTCCCTGATTGTGAATGGTCGCCCCCAAAAATCAATCTTTGCAACTCGATCCAGTTCGTACTACTTGTTATGTGTGGACGTGCCTACTATGAAGATACAGTGGCGTAGGTGCAGGGGCACCGTGACAACCCCTCCCATCAAAACTGGGAAAACATAGATAAGAGGAGTAAGGGAGGGGGTCAGAGAAAGAGAAGGAAATGAAAGTCCTCGAACACGCTCTCTTCTAGGTGATCGATCATTTACTGCCAGTGCATCGAGATTGTGGAATGGTCTTCCTCAAATCATACGCTCTTGTCACTAGTTATGCACTTTCAGAACTCAACTAAAGACTTACCTATTTCAGATTGCTTACATTATTAGTTACTGCCTTTTTTGTATTTCCCATTGAATCACGAACAGGCATTTTCAGTAGTTTTTCTTTCTCATCGGCGCCTTTGATTAGGCAACTAGATATTGGCGCTTTATAAATTCCTGGATTGGATTGGAAAGCATTAACGAGAAGAAAAGATGACAAGGCACACTTTCCCTCACCTTACCCCTCCAAAAGGTGCCTTTGATAAATCGTTTGTATCCACTAAGATCGTCCCCCCCCCCCCCATTCTGCCAGTGCTCCCACCTCGATGTCTACACCTGTGCTACCCCACTGAGTTCATACTTCCAGTCTGATGAGCATGTTAAAACATAGAATGTCAAATCATCCGGCTTTGGTGAAATTTAGTAAGCTAAAATGTGCATTTGTTCATTCAAGTGTGTAATGAGTATTCATGTATTCAACATTGAGTCGAGCCTTGGCATCTAGGTTGGCATATGTCAGAGCCATTTACGGAAACAAAACTACCTAGCACCTTCAGAGCTTAAAGATAAAGTTGAGTTCTGGTCATGCGATTGCAAATTGTGAAAGAAACGTTATGGAATCGATCAGAAAAGTTTGATCATCTAGCCTATAAGACTAGTATTGGTGCGTACTGCAAGGTTCTCGAATCATCAAAATGATAAGAAATTTGGCCCAGTCTTGGTAAAGTTACAAGCACTGTACACAGAAAGATGTATATGGGACTACGACATGTGGCATAAAAATCCGTCCCGATTTTTATGATGTTACATCATGCCATATTTAGAAGAGCCATGCTTTTTAGGCAACATTTTTTATCTGGTGTTCTTCCACACTTGCATATTATACAATGATAACGCTCACAAATTATTTTCACCTCTTCCCAGAACTTAACCTTCTCTTTAAACAGCGATGACTTTTAAATGGAGTTGTTTCCGTGTCAGAGTGTTGCTTTGTATTGATATTCAGAGGCCGAGAAGCCTTTCAAATCATTTCAGGGTTGAAGTTTATTTGTTCCACAACTACATGAAACGTGTTTTTCTTCCCGTCGATAACTCGGTTAAACCTTGGTCACAAATGCCATTACAAACTGCTACGAACGCCGTACGAACGATTTTCAGACAATGGAAATTCGGGAAGACACTGGAAAAACAGGAAGATTCGTACGAAATTATCGCTCGTACGAACCTTTGTGACCGTAGCATTACAACCTAAAGGCGGATAAATAATATATTTAAACAATAACAACGTATAATACAGTACTTCAGACGTTTGTTTAATACATGTAGGTTATATGACATGCAAACTGAGAATGGCAAATGTGTAGGGTCTAAATCATGGATATTTTTTCAAGGTTTTACACAAGATTGTTTTATTTAAATTTTCAGAGGGCTGGGAGGTTTTGTATCGCTTTTGGAAATCCATCAATTCATGTGCTTTAGTTTCATTCAATATGAATGTACGTGTATACATGGACACCATGGAAATGTCATTTAAAGGTCATTGAAATAGAATATAATGTGATCAGCGAATTCCCATGTATATATTTTTAACTTGCTGATATCATCTCTGAAGAAGAAAAAACAGACTTGATTGAGCTGCTGCTTGTTATACAATTCATGTTACATTAATTTTGTGATTAGTGAATACAACAAAGTCAATCGAATTTTCGTTTATTTATTTTTGACGAAATTCGCTGCTGAGACAATTTTTTTATTTTATTTGATAATATACAACAGTGATGCCTTAACCTTTGCAAAGTTGGATTTTTACGTGAGGTGCTGAAATAAATCACTTTTACATGTCAATTATGCACTTAAGCACAATACATATGTTTTTAAATAATTCTATTTCAACAAAGCACTTTTACACTTTTATGTGTGTAGATGTAGTGTTTCTAATGTTTAAACAAAAAGGTGTCGTGAAAAGCCCATGTTCGTTATGTAATAAAACTGAATGCATAAATCTTTGTTAAGTGCCATGTTACAAATTGTTTCATTTACCTAATTGTATTTTAATAGTCAGAATTCGAATCGCCTACATTAAGCCTCTGTCACAAATGCCATTACAAACTGCTACGAACGCCGTACGAACGATTTTCAGACAATGGAAATTCGGGAAGACCATGGAAAAACAGGGAGATTCGTACGAAATTATCGTTCGTACGAACCTTTGTGACCGTAGCATTAGTTGTTGCTAGGTGGGACAAACATTATGGCTTGTTCTACTTAACAACACGTAATGCATGCAATTCGCATTCTGCCATTGAAATACAATTATTCGTAACAGGTCCCAGGTGAATCATAATTTGTAACGAGGCACTTAACACAGATTTGTGTATCGAATTTGATTACATCAAGGAGTTTTAAGAGCTGGAGTCCCAATTGGCAACAATTTATTTCAAGCAGCTGCCGTGTTGTAAGGTTGCACAAAAGAATCTACATGTGTGCCGTTATCTTTGATATCCGAGGTTCGAAGCCGCCAATATCATTGGAAAGCTTGAGTAGTGATTTTCACAAAGAAATATCGTTAATATTTCACTTTTTATTTGACCTCACAAGGGGAAAACCGAACAGATGATAAAATATGAATACAAAAACCTAATTGTGTCAAGAAAGTTGCTTACATTGTATAATAGCAGTTTTAATTTGTAAAAAAGAGTAAAATTTTACAATCCTAACACCTGCAATTTGACACTTTTCCGATTACTTCTGGCTCACGAAAATAAAAAGTAAATTTGTTCATATACAGTTCTTTATGATGTTATAGGTCAGATTATTGCCCACACATACCCAGTCGAGTAATTTTGATTAATATTTCAGGAAATTTTGCTCCATTTCCTTTCGCTTGCCTCCTGTGAAGGTAAGCACTGTGTACTGCTCGTATTATCAGACGAGTGGTAGCGAGAAGTAACCACCATTACAAAAACATATTTCCCTTTGAAAGTGGCCCGTTAGTTTGCAGCTAGGCAGGAATCTTTTGTCTACGTTTCTGCGAGAAAGATCCAGTGAAGCACATGCCTGACATATTTTCTCATGGCGGCATCGGAGATGGTACAAAGGGAATGAGCTAGAAATGACTCCATCTGACATATCAGTCATATATCGCGTCCTATTATCATTACTTATTGATAAACTAACACGTGAATTCCATTGAACTTGCTGCAATCAATCAAGATCAACCTATCGATGGGTTATCACAAATATTCTCACAAAATACCGGAAATGCGTATCGAGGTCGTAAACTATCTCATACCCCCACCCTGTCTCTATTTATCTTCTCTCTCTCTCTCTCTCTCTCTCTCTCTCTCTCTTTCTCTCTCTCTCTCTCTCTCTCTCTCTCTCTCTCTCTATATAATAATAATAATAATAATCATCTTTTAAAGTCCACTCCAAATTTTATTAAACCGAAAATGGAAATTCTTTTTGCCCAATTGATCGTGAGCCCAGCAGCCACTGAGCAGCGCCAGATCGACGTTGCTCTACCCCTATTGTTGCTAGGTAGGACAAACGAAAATCCTATCGATAAGATTCGAACTATTTTTTTTTCATCGGTGGAATATGGTTATTGGCCAGGTAGGGCAAAAAGTGAAGGTTACCTATTGAAGGCCTACCAAGTGTGAGCATCAATCATGTATCACGTCCTATTTGCTTATTGGTAAACTAATACCTCCCAGTCGTTTTGCAATGTTGATACCTTGCTTTTGAAACAATACCATTAAATGTGCGCTAATAATTCATGATCAAGCTTTCGATAAATATTCTCACAAAATTGTCCTTGTGTACCGGAAAGGCGTATCGAGATCATAAGCTAACTCACACCCCCCCCCTCTCTCTCTCTCTCTCTCTCTCTCACTCTTTCTCTCTCTCTCTCTCTCTCTCTCTCTCCCTCTCCCTCTTCCTCTCCCTCTCCCTCTCTCTCTCTCTCTCTCTCTCTCTCTCTCTCCCTTTCTCTGTTTCACTCTCACTCTCTGTGTGCATACCTTAAAACAAGCTATATAATCTATTCACAATGGTCAGCTAAGGCGCTACTGGGTCGTTATACCGTCAATTAGACTTTCACAATGCTTAATATCCTTGGATAAGCGAAATACGATTAATTATTCAAAAAAATTGACCATGGGTCGAGTTTTGTTGAAAATGACGGATGGAGCGATGAGCGAAAAAAGTGGAGGAATATTTTAACACGCATGATGATGCTCCCGACTCCCATTATGTCCCGTTTGCAGCCAACATCAAATTCTGTAGAACTTTCCAGGAATTATGGATACGTCACGTATGTCCTATCTGTGAGATTTAAGTGTTAGCAGTGTCCTAATATTCAAATTATGCAAGAAGACCCGTTTACTTTCTAGACTTCACTGT